TTAGAAAACAATGAAAATCCTCATTCTTTATTCAAATTTGCAATGACCATGGGGTGTGCAGATTTGTTGGTTTTTCCTAAAAGAATGATTTGGTCTTGAAAAGTTCTGTTAAAATTTGGAATACTGCAAAAGATATATCAAGGACCTATCAATTCTGGAACTCCTACGAATGAAAATTCCCAAGAAATATGTCCAGAAATACTCAATTTAAGTTACTCTCTTCTTTAATTTTAAATTTAACGCAACATATCACAATCACAGCTAGAGCTATATCTACATGTCTTAGAGAGGTTCAAGGGACTTCTAAGTAGTGACAGGAACCCAATCATGAAAGAAAAACTATAGGAATGTATATCAAACATCAACTTATCACTAGAATATATTTCACCTTCGTAGGATATTGCCATGCTTCTGGATGAGTAGAAAAGTGTGCAGTAAGTATGTAAGACAACTTTGAAGGGGGTGCTTTAGAAACATATATCTTGAGTAAACCATTAAAAGATAGTTCACCTCGTTTGACGGTAAGAAACTATTTTCTGAAGTAAACGATGCCACAAGGATCAGTTGAAAAACATGCAAAGTGGGTACTACGGGGGGGGGGGGAAGCCGTTTAAATTATTGTTTAGTTAATCAAGAAAGTATTCCGTATCATCGTGATATTGCTATACCCAATCTTTGTTGTTCGATCGATAGTGAAATGAATCGAAAAAAATGTTTATAGTACCATACTCCTACGTACTTCGCATAGTTCAGATGGAAAAGTTCAAAAACAAATAATAGAAGCATCTTGTCATAGAAAGACAAATTTCCATTTTCAATATGGATAAGTTTATCATAATTATTATCGACTATCAAAATTTAGCCAGTAGTCTTGAACTTCAGAAAATGAAGCCTCAGCAAATTATTACAAACTGCCACAACAATGAAATCTCTTAGATCTTAGGAATCTGTAAGTGGATTGTAAGATGTATAAGCTAGTACAAAACTCACAGCAGCCTTGAGAGCTTGATCTAAATCTTGAATGAGATCGTCTAAGTCTTCAACACCAACGGAAATACGGATCAGATTGTCAGTGATTCTGAGCTTTTTGCGATCTTCGGCAGGGACAGAAGCATGAGTCATGATGGCCGGAAGTTCAGCCAAAGACTCATAGCCTCCAAGAGATTCAGCTAGTGTGAAAACCTAGAAACGTAAAAAGTTTACTTCATGAAAAAGGGCCAACTTTTAAGGAAGACAGGAACGTTTGACTCTCTTCCAGTTCCCCTCTAAGGTAAAATGAGATCATTCCAGACATTCCTTTAGTTTGCTTCTTATGAATATCATGTTGTGGGTGAGAGGGTAGAGCGGGGTACAACACCTACAAATCGTAAAAAATAAAAATACTATTTATGATAAAACTTACGCTTTCTACTCTTGGATTACTCTCCAAGAACTGAGCAACGCCTAAGGCATTTTCATAGTGAGCTCGCATTCTAAGATGTAAAGTTTTCATTCCTCTGTTCACCAAGAAACAATCAAATGGGGAAGGTACAGCTCCAACAGCTTAAGAAGAAGAAGAATTAGCTATTTCTAAAGAATCTCTATACCAAGTTGTTGGAAGAAGAGATGTTCTTGAATTTTGTCACTATCAGTGATGACAGCGCCCATAACAACATCCGAATGTCCATTCACATACTTAGTGAGAGAATGAACTACAATGTCAGCTCCAAGAGAAATTGGTCTCTGAATTTATTTTTAGTTTCGACGTGATTGAACAGTTCTACTTGGAAGTATGGAGTCATGAAGGTGTTATCAACAACAACAAGGATTTCTGGGTTTCTCTTTCTGGCGATTTGAACAACAGCAGAGATGTCAACAACCTTGAGAAGAGGGTTCGAAGGAGACTCGAACCAGATTATCTTGAAAAAAACTGTTAGACAGATATAAACAATTTTCACACCTTGGTGTTTGGCTTGAACGCAGACTCCAACTCTGGAAGGTTGGTCAAATCAACAAAGTCGACCTGAAGTCCATGATGAGGTACAGACACTTTTCTAATGAAACGTTGGGTTCCTTAAATCAAGAGCACACTACAAGTTTCACGGAGATAATCGAACCTCCGTAAACGTCATCAGAGCAGATAATGTGGTCACCAGTCTTCAAAATATTGATAACGGCGGCACTAGCAGCAAGACCAGATGCATACACATGGCCTAAAACAATCTCTAATCAACACATTCTTATCAAAACAAATTTACAATGCTTAGCATCTTCAAGTGCGGCCAAGTTTTTCTGGAGAACGTCTCTCGTTGGGTTCCCAGCGCGTGAATAATCATGACCCTTAGGTTCTCCAGGACGATCCTGTTTGTATGTCGAGGACAGAGAGATTGGTGGTACAACCTTAAATTAGAAATAGTTAACTATGAAACGGAAACAGCGTAGAATCCAAGCTTGACAGTGAAACCGGATATCATGAATTTTTGTACGGTGAACCTATCTCACCTGGTTCATCTCCCATTGTTCTGGTTCTTGACCAACGTGAATAGCAGCAGTTCCAAAGTGGGGGAAACGATCTTGAGAAGCCATTTCGAAAAACGAGTAACTATATCTGAAATATCACGGGGTGATGCAACTTTTATAATGATTTACGACGCAATAACGAGCTGTAATTCACGAGAAATAACAAAAAATCTAAAAATGGCTGAGATGATATAAAACGTGATTCGTAATAAAAATGATTTTGTCATAATGATCAAGAGAAATAAACTCATGTCCTTTGAAGGGATGATAGGAGAGATGATGATAGGAAGCAATTTGTCTAACCTACCACAGAAATATATGTAAGGTAGTTAGACTAATGTCCTAAGAAAACAAGACGACCTATAGTCCAAAGCTAAGAACATAATTAGCTCTTGAACAAATGAATTGGAGGGATAATCTGATAGTTCACCAGATGTTCGTGCAGACTAAAACGGTATTTGACAACTTTTAGGAATGAACTTTGGATGAGCGAATTGTAAAAATTTAAAAGTGTCTTGTAACACAAAGTTCGTGCTAGGAAGAGATCAGGCGGTGAGAATTTGAATTCAAAAATACAAATGATCAAGATACTGATAGCTATATAGGGGAACGCGAAGCAGTACCTTTCATAGGTAATTAAAAATTTAATTTGTAGTACGGGATGATAACATTTCAAAGACACGAGGTCGAAAACATATGGAGAATGGTCTGCGCAATCAAATGATTTTGGAGAGGCACTACCTAGCTTTCTTTCAAGGAAACGAAGAACTCGAAAACCTCATGGTATTCGAACATTTATATATGATTCCGATGGACAGCCCCAATCTTAATAATCAATCAAAGGATGAAATGAAGACGCATGACAACACAATGCTGCAAGTTGCACACTATAAATTACTGAAAAAGAAAAAGTTTCTTCGATTCTAGCTGTCTGAAAAAGAGAGATCTAGTCTCCTTATGTTTCTTCCTCCGGTTTCCACAAACTATTTCAATGCCTAACATCTATTGCGCTTCCAACCTTCTCGAATTGTCTGCTTCTTTGAGTCTGTGAAGATGATAAGTTGAGAATTCGTAGCATAGACAAACTTGGTGATTAACGGAATAGGAACGAAAATCAATAATAAATCTGTACTGTTGTCTTCATCTGGTTGTAGTCAGTTGATACAATATTATTCTAGAATGAAAGGAAAGAGGAGCTAGTGGTCGTTGGCTATTTCATCACCTGATGTTACAACCAAAAACTGACCAATGGGAAAAACGGCTGATGATGAGCCGCTGTGTTCATCAAATATATAGCTTCTCGTAGTAAAGACAGAGGAATAGATCTTTTGAAACATTCAAAAGATAAAACCAGAGCTCAGTCAGTCAAAGAAAGTTGAAGAAAGGCCCGTGAAGGAGGAAATATTTTATGGAAAAAACTCATTTCATCAAATTTTACACTCCATCTGGCCCCGAAAGAAGTACAACGATGAACGAGTTCAACAGCTGTAAAGTGCAAGTCATGAATTTTTCAGATTTACAGATTAAAGAGATGCATGGCAGATGACGCGTTTCGCCAGAGTTTAATTAGAAATTGCCAACAGAGAAATAGCGAAAAAAGCTGTCTTGATATAACCACTGATTATAGTAGAGCAGCTTGCATTATGGCAATTTGGTTTTGATGTTGGATATGATAGATGATGATATGATGGTGAATAGCTAGTTCAATTTATTTATATATAGGATTGCAGCTGAGAAATGGTCTTTATGTATTGCATCAGCCGGGCCAAGCCTAACAGGATTCAACAGCTTTGTGCTACACGCTGTGCGTAACATACTTTATATATTTGCATTAAAGTGCAGACGTGAAGAGAATTAAGAGAGAGAAAGACTTTTTCACCTTTTTTTCTACAACATCTCTTTCAAATTAGTGCCGATTTCAGAAATTGTCATCATATGCTGACAATTTTCTCAAGTTTTTGCTACGGACAACTGTAATTCAATCATTTGGTTAGTTGCTTTCGTCATCATTGTATGATTGTTTAATGATAAACTCGATGTTATGGTGACAATTACTAGTAACCAGAAAGATTTTTCATCACGCCAATATTTGATTTCTCTGGTCTCGAGAGTAACCAGGAGCTAGAGAATGAAGACGAATTCCAAGCATGCAGTGAAAAAAAGGGTAAGACATAACACCAACAAAACAACAACAAACAAACATGAAGAAATCAGTATGAGTTTCAAGAACTTGTATTTGTCTCTGATTCAAGCTTTGAGATTCAACATAATAGTCGATTCTGAAATTGTTTACATTAATGATAACATGAGTAAACGAAATCACCTCAAACTATCGAAGCATTGTCCGACAGCTCGAGTTCGAAACTTTTTTTCCTGAACAGCTCCACGATTATGATCATACGGAAATCTCCTGTTCTGGTTATCAATTACTTTCCTTCTCGTTAAGTATACAGACTCTCGATTTTCATTCTTTCTAACCTAAAAACTATTAGAAAAGATTTCCATACAAAATATAAATTATTAAAAAGGATAAAACTCCGTTGGTTTCTTTTCAATATCATCCATTTGCCCAGTGGAAACTATCTTGGAAAATCACACAAAAACAACGATCGAAACGTCATAGAGTATCTCGCTTCTCACTCTTTATTTACTGAGGTCAAAGTTGAAATAATCTTTTATTAGATTATTGTAATTATCCATACACAAGCGCAGTAGATTGAGAGGTTGTACGAGTAGAGTTCATGCAATGCAATGGAAAAGTAACGAAACATAACAAAACAATAACAAAAACAATAACAAAACAAATAACCATTTAGGTAGTCTCAGTCCAAGTTTCAATAACTTGTTTTTGCAACATGGTTGATAAAAGCATTGAACCTAAAGTAAAACACGTATTGGAGAGCAAACATGATCTTACCGCTTCTTATCCATTATCACTGCTCGGCGGAAAGGCTTCAACTTCTCTCCATCTTTTTCAATAATATGGAATTTACTTCCAGTCTCTACATCTCCAAAGACAGGATAATCGAAGAAAGTAACAGAGCCCTCTTTTAAATTGTAAAGATCTTCGTCTTCTGGACAATCAAACACTAGACGCGAGCTCGCCAAAACATCAGCCGCAAGTCTCTTCTGAAACTATTATTGGAAATCGATATCTTTGCGCTCCCACCTTAGCAGCCTTCCCGAGTTTCTTTTTTTTAGCAGCGGGGACTGATGGAACCTCAAAACGTAATTATGAAAGTAGTATGAAGATTAAAGGTCAATACTTTGCCTTTCTCTCCATCAACGTATCGAATTTTATGGATATAGAGTACTTTATCGAAAGGCTTTTGCATTCCAGCGAGGTCAATTCTGAAATTGTTTACATTAATGGCAGCATGAGTAAACGAAATTACTTCAAACTATCGAAGCATTGTCGTACTGCTTGAGTTGGAAAGTCGAGCAATCTCTCGTTAATTAAAAACCCGAACTGGAGAGAAAAATTAGAGCAAATTTTCAAACAGAAACAAGTGAACTTACTCTTTCTTTTCCCAACTCAGTCAAAGCGGTACGAACTTCGGTCACTGCCTTCAAATTGGCCTTATCCATAACAAACTCGTATATGCTTTTAGCAAAATCAGCAGGTACCTTAAATAGGAAGACATGTTAATTTACTTGTAGATCAGAGTACCTTTCTGAAATCTAAGTCTAAACAAGTAACAACAGAGAAAACTAGGTTCGCTGTATCTTCGACTGTCTCCTCTTCAGCAGGCTAAATTACAGCGATTTAAACGTCGGATAACTTGCAACTCACTCCTAACACATTTCCGAAAGGGGATATTCTAATCATTTCATCGACTATAGAATTACAATCTATATTAGTGCGTAAGAAAATCTTGAAACAGAACGTTGAGTTAGAACAGAACTTAGAAGGTATTACTTGAGTTAGCATGTCGATCAATCCTTCTTTGTCTTTCTCTTCCAATGGAAAGGCTTCAATATCAAAATCACTGAACTCTTTGCGTTCTTCGTCGCCATCATCATCATCATCATCTTCTTCTTCATTTTCTTCTCCTTCGTTGTCGTCATCGTCATCGTCGTCGTCATCGTCTTCTTCTTCGTCATCGTTGTCTTCATCTTCAAGCTCTTCGTCGTCAAAATCTTCATCCTCATCCTCAATATCATGCTGATCAACAACTTCTTCAGAATCCACAGATTGTTCACTTATTTCCTTTAAACAGGATGATCAAGAAAACTTGAATGCTATAAAAAACCTCTTCGGCTTCTTCCTCTTGTTTATGTTCTTCATCAGCTTTTCGCTTCAAAGCTCGCTAATATACAATTAAACATTTGAAATATTGAAAAAAAAACCTTAGCTTCTACCGCGGCATCAACGCTTTGTTTTTTCTTGAACACTTTCCCCATATTCCTAGAAAAGTTTGTTCAATCCGAATCAGGGCTTAAAAACAAAAGACCCAACTAAAAAGACTGAAAGCTGAGAAAGATCACGACTAGCTATTGCGTACAGTACGCAGCTCACGGCGCAAAGAACAAAAGCCTTATACAGTATCTGCATATTACATCAAACATATGCTTTGAGAGAAAGTTTCGAATAAAGTGCAGATAATTGTGATTGCGAATAAGGTTATTCAGGAAACAGTTCGTTCATCTTCTCTTATCAATATGGCCTAGTTTCCGTCTTAGCGAGAAACCATTTGACGAATAATCAACGTCCTCAGACGCCCAGGAAGATTTTCAGCTTCGTTATATCTCATTTTAAAGTATGTAATTCGAACGTTATTCATCTTATGCATAAAATATTGTTCTCCGATTTTCTCTTATTTTTCAATCAAGAATATTTTGTGTGATATGCTCTTCAATTCATAGAACTTGATTGGTTGGGCAAGTTGAAGGCTCAAAAGGCTTCAGGAGAGCAGCATGCAATTATCTGATTAACGAACTTCTATAATTACTTGACTTTTTTTGGTGTGTTCGTCCTTGTATTCTTGACGAGAACTGACCTCCAAACCAGTCAGTTGATCAATGCCGTTTCGATTGCTTACCTTTTGTCTTGAAGTGGGCGAAATTCAGCTTCGTTCATGAACTGCTGTCTATCATTTCACAAGTCTTAAAGTATTCTTTGATTTAATTCATCCCTACCACAGAAGTCTTTCGAAGATGTTATCAGATTAATCCATTTGTTGTAATGAACCTTCTATCGCTCTGTTCTGTCTTGATTTCTTTTGCAAAGTTTTCATCAATGAATAATTAAAAAATTCTGATACAAGAGAGAGTTCTCCTATTTGGAAATATTGGTCGAATGACATAATGTTTCCGATCAATCAGGTCACATAATCCATAGAACTGTGTAATAACAGCTATTCATCTCTTTTTTAGTTTTGAAATTCTCGAAATTCAAATATAAGAATGAAAACAGATATTTCTGAGTTGGGGAGAAGTGTAAAAATAAAGCCATCTGCGAACCTGTGAATACATTCAACAACGTGGATCAGCTGTTCTGGTGCTTTGAAACATATAAGCTTTATTGAAAATTGTTCAACAAGTGTGAGAGAGAATGAGAAAAGGAGAAGAACAGGCAATTATATAATAAGTCTTCTACTCAATTAGTCCGTCTAACCATATAAAGTGAATGAGGGTTTATAATTGGCTTTTCGCTTCACTGCCATGTATGAATGGAGTCTTGTCGGTCGATCGGGGTGGACAATGTCATTTTTGTCATATTATTGATCGAAATAACAGCTATTCTACCGTTTTTTCCTTTAAATTATTCCTGAACAAGTGTGTCTTCAACCTTTCTTTGTTTTTTTTCTTTGCATCTGTCTTCAAGTCTCTCACTATTCAACTTTGTATTGACCAATTACAATTTGTGAAAGCTCGTTCATTGTTCCAACTTGTTTCCTAGTCGATTGGGCTTACATCTTAATGTTATTGATAACTGTTATTTTGCAAACAAACAAAATCCGATAATATTCTTCTCATATCATGTTATTCTCCATCATTCTGAATATTTTCCGTGAAATTAGCATGAACACTTCAATTTATTTTACACGTAAATAAATCAGACAACGGTTGTGTTTTTTCCTTTCTTCTTCTTCTTATACCTCTACATCTTCTTTCTGTCTGTATGAGAAGGATATTCTAACACGTGATCAATTCAAGATTTACCGTTGCCTGTATCCTACCCATTGCTGGGTTAAACGGATTCTTCCAACTGGCTCTTTAGTTTGCTTTTCTGTTCCAAACAGAAGCTATTAGATGAAGCCGTACATATATATTTTTTTTCACTCTTTGAAATGAAAAGCGAATTCATGAAACACATTGCCAACCTTGATGTCGATCAATGGTATGCATGTCTTATCTCATCTGCAAATCTTCATCAGATGCCGTCTTGTTTTCTGTTTCAGTTAGGCAATGCCCCCTCACCCGTTTTCACCTTCAACCTTCTTCTAGAAATGACGTTTCGCTTCTCTAAATTTGCCTCAGGCAAATCAGAATTGAATGTCAATGCCTACATATTCTCTTCCACAAAGATCCACTTAATCGTTCATTGGTTATGTCATTCTTAAGAAAGAAATATCTGAAAAGAAATAAAATGAGAAAGAAGATGTCGAAAAAACAAACTTTCACTCCTGTTTTTCACCTCATTTTTGTCAAAACACATACATTTCCATGTAGGGTATGAGTACATTATTCTTTCTTTCTGTCATTTTCTCTAATCAATTCTATTTTTGTATTTTGGTTTGCAAGAATAATGAAATTTTTGTTTTTTTTTGTAACTTCATAGATGGTCAACATCTTTCAATTTTTATTTCTAAGAATGGCAGTAAACAGCTTGTTTCTCTTTATTTCCATATTTGTCTGTCTATGTGGGTATATGATGTGTATGTGTTGGTGTGTTTTACATCGAAAACCTGCTCTTCTGCCCATTCTACTATATAGAAAAGCCTACAAAAGCCAATCCACCATTTGAAATAGTTTGAGAACCATTTGTAGTCTTTAGGATTAGGTTGAACACTTCTTAATCTGTTTCAAATATCCACAATTATGCAAAATTCATCATATTTCTCGTAAATAATTTGTGAGAAAATATCGAAAAGTTGAAATAAAAAGAATCAGCCCATTTGCAGATGTATGATGAGAAGGAGGAGAAGCATTTACTGAACACGCTCAAGCACATATCCAGTGTGAGTTTTTTTTTCAAAAGCTTTTTTTTAAATTTATTTTTGTTTAAGGTGATTGGATTCATATCTCTGGTTCTTCATTTGTATACAGATGGCTTGCACTCTATTCCTTTACTCACAAGTGTTTTATATTCCATAACTTTTAATTATGCCTCCTCTTCAAACTATCACTTGCCTTCCTTACGGGAGATGTGGCAGAAGTTCAAGTTAAAGGTTCAATTCAAGGGTTTCAACATTTTTATAATAAATCTTCAGACTATCCTGAACGTTTTTGGAACAACTCAGTTGGCCATACTAAGGATTCTTCTATTATCAATGCAGACAACCGAGGCCGATAATGCAAGTCCACTAGTGAGTTTGACGAACAGAAATGAGCATAGCTTGAACTTGATATGTAAATTTCAGTTTTTATCGTATTTGCAATTGATTGTTGCTTTCACTGATAACTTCACCATTCTGTGTCAGCTGGAAAAGCATGTGCCAGTGCGAGAAGTCGCACCTCGTCGACGTTACTACGAACGTTATGCGGCAGCTGGATGAAATCCAGAATGAATTGCTTACTTCTTCTTAAGAAGAGAGAAAATAATAATTTCTGTAAAAAGTATTTTGTTTGTTCGTTTTCATTTGCTTCTTTTTGCCAAATATTGCCTAATATCTCATATTAGCCATTGATGTCAGGTTTTTTCTTCATTACGGGCCTCCAATCAGCAGTTCAGTTTGAGAAAAGGAACTGAACATACTCTTCATCTCATGCAAGTAATAAATTCTTTTATTTGTTTTCTCATTACTTCATATTTCCACATTATCGATGACTGAATTTGAGATTATATCGAAGTTTCGCTTTACTTGTAAGCCTCTACAATCCTTTCTGTACTTCCTTCATAGACGAACCGGAATTTGGTTATACATTGTTACTTCACGTGTGGCATAGAAGGGACAAGAACAATAGGATAGAGAAAGAGCGAAAGAAGCCCACTTCTAAAGCTTATGGTATCAACTTAATCAGCTTCTTTTTTTTTCACAATTTTTGTTTGTATCGATTGTGAACTGCGCACTTCATAGAAGTTGAGTAGAGGCGACCGCGTGAACAACATTCGTCTGATATAAACATATCAACTTTTGAAATGAGTCCAGAACATTATAATAAATAATATTCTTACGTCAGTACACGTGATGACAACTTCATTTCCATATCAATCAACAGCATCTATCGGTTGTTCATAGAAAATTATTCATTGACAATAAACAAATTAAATACGAACATCCTCTTTATAAAATTACATTATGAATGTTTAATTGAAGGTATTAGAATCATACAAACCACACTTATCCAATCCACGTTTTTCGTAACATTTCTTTCAATTGATCTTCATTAACTCGTTTGTTAGGATTGTATTCAGATTTCCATCGGGGTATAACAATAGGACGTTCACTATCTTTCAGTTGACGATATTCTTCCAGAAGACGAATCATAGGAGCTTCAAAACTGTACTAAAAGCAACTGATGAGGTATAGATCAATGAGAAGAAATGCTAAAAATACAAATTTGGACATAAAACATACCACAAGTAATCTAGCCTGAGATATAGTGCACATGATAGTCAACATCAGCACTAAGAAATATTTCATTAAATTCATCTTATACCTAAAATATTTCATCCAACTTCATCAGAATATATTTTATGACGTCATCAACACATAGGTCAAAACTTCAAAAATGCATTTTTTTGAACAAAAAAAATGAAACAAAAAGAAAAAAAAGCTTTTTCTTCTCAATAGAAGGAAATCCGATTGAACTGTTGATGAAAAACAAAAAAAAATTAAAAATAAGAAACTGAATACTTCGAAGCCTTTTTTTTTCATTTTCCTCATACTTTGGTTAGAAGGCGTTTTTGACCGGACAACTCATTAAAGCGGTTGAATGTCGACTGTTATGAGGATAAGTTAGTTAATGAATTACATGTTTTAGGGCAAAAAGAAGTTTTTTTAATTATGATTTTCAAAGAGAAAGTTCTTTTTCCAAGACGAATAGAATGAGATGTCGTTCAATGCAATTCTGATCACTCGTGCTCGCAACTCACAACAGAGAATATCAGAAAGGAGCTGGCTGAGCTTATAATTTCCATTTAACATTTTGATTGATTTATTTGTAACAAAATACGAATAAATTTTAACTCAAAATTCATAAATAAGCGGGATTATGGCTATGCAAACGAGAAATTTCATTTTTGAAGCCATAACTCTGTAAAAAAATTTGGAAGATAGCTTGTAGCTTCGTCTTTAAGCTTTTGAGGTATCAAACTGACTATCGCCATTGGTGAAAAATTAAGGAAAGTTCTTTTTTCTATCTCTCTCTCTCTCTCTGTGTTTGAGATGACAAAAAGAAATAATTTGTGGAAAGAAAACAGGATTTGTTCATTAGATTCAACTGAAGCTCAAGTGTAAATGCATTGGAGAGGAAGTGAGTGACGTTATGTGATGATGTTGTCTTCGAATAAATGATTTAACGTCTTCAATTTTTGAAATTTACTTTGCAATTTTGTTGAAAATTTAAAAAAAAAACACTTGAAGCAGTTCTAACACTAAGCTCCAAAGGGCAGGAAGAGACAGGACTCAAGTTCAGAAACTAGTTCTGTGTTTCTAGTTACGTACAATAAATGAGTCAAAAAAATGGTGCCGAATATGGTAAAGCTAGATCTCGTCAATGACGAAGCTGAGAAGGATGGGCGATAAGCAACAGAAGAGACTAGGTGGGTGGCAGAAGCTATGCTGAGTAGACTAATTAATTTCCTTCTTTGCCTAATATGGGGTTCGTTTACGAACCTAATCTACTCTTTAAGGCTTTTCTATTATAGCGGTGAGGCGATAAGAAGAGGTTATTCTAGCAGAAAGTGGCAAAGTGAGAAGAATCCATGTTAAGAATGGCAATGAATAAGAAGGCGTTAAGGCGTGGTGTAGGCGATTCAGAAGATACACGATGGGCTCGTCATGTTAAAATGGATGTAGAGTGATGTATAGAAGATAAAGAAGCATGAAAAGTAACAAGTTCTTCTCGATTTCAACGGAAAACTGACAAAATTAAAAAAAAAAAGAAAAATTCACATGACAACTGGTAATGTTGGAAAATTGTAGTAGAATTGCTCCCTACTGGCTATCATTATGTGTTCATTTTCATTAAATCTTGACTAACATTGACACTGATTGCTCCAGAATACAAGTGAATTGCAATTGTTTCTCATCACGAAATGAGACGTCATCCTCGTTTTTAGTTTTTTTTAATCTTCTACTTCATTTTCTCGCCTGGTTTCAAATTTGCTCTCTCTATAGCATAGTCTGAGAATTATTTTTGTGTTTAAGCTTCCGATGACAACACAGATTGGAATGAAATAATCACAACGATTGGCCATTCGTTTTTTCTTCTCATTTATGGTAATGTATTATCCGAGTCCTCTATTAGAGCAGACTATACATTCGCGTGGCGTATGCTACTTTCATTTATGAATATTGTGTCGCATGGAGCGGTTGTGTCTGAGATATGTGGCGTCAAAGATTGTCAAAAACATATGTTTATCTCATTTTTATTCCTAAAATTAAACTAATTTATAACAACGACATTCATTATCATTATGAAATATGTCTCACAATGATTTAAAGGTGAATTTTATGAGAAAAGTCGATGGGACAAAGGTCGTCAGCATCTTTCATTATGACATATTTGAAATTGTATTTAACTTTTCTGTGAAATGGATAAATTGTATGCATTGCGCAGTTAGCTGGATGATGATGAGTGTTTGTATGTTTCAAATGAAGATGACAACGATTTGATGACAACCAAATTTGTAAGCATTGGCTCGAACTTCCGATGGATTTGTCATGGGCTTCTCTTATGCAACTGAAGGGATGAACTTGTTAGACAACATAAAATGAAATACAAAAAAAAAAGAAAGAGAAAAATAAAAATTAGCATTTCTAGTTGAAGCAGTAGGAAGTGTATCATATTAACAAGTAAATATCTAAGCTTCTGACCGGTGATGATGTTGTAGAAGCCCGTTTCAAACATTAAAAGCTTCTAAAGTACAATAAACCTGTTTTACAACTTCCTTTTGACAAATTTCTCAGTAAAATGAACTGATAATACTAGTAAGAATAAATATGGTTGTTAAACAAGTCGGCAAAGGAAGAAGCACCTTCCCCCTTCTCTTCATTTCTCTCATTTCAGTCTCGACCGCGTTAACGTTTGACACTTGCCTATCCAGTCAATAATATCACCCAAAATATATTGAAATGAATGAACTGGTCCTATATAGAAATCTGTCTTCTAAATAAGGTCTGCTGGTTAGTCTGTGAGCTTCATATTCATTGTAAAGCCTTCTATCGTTGCATCACGTTTATTCAAAGTATAAACATGATATGCGATGATAGTACGTACGAACAAAAAAATATAAATTTTCCCATAGTTTTCATTTCATTATCTTTTTCCATTTTCTCTCTTAATCTTCTCTTCAAAGAATTACATTGGCATACTGTACTTTCATTATCAGCTTCACATTGTTTCTTTATGTAGTTGTGATATTTTAAACTCTAAACATCTATCTATCTGTTTCTTTTGCGCTCTTTAAGTGCCAACCCACCGTTCGGTCAATGTTTAGGTGTCTTCTTTTTAGTTTCTATGCGTACAAGAATCAAAGAAGGTCGTTCCTTTTCTGTTATTTTGAGATGACTCGTCGTTTGGCAATCACAAGCTCAGTCACAGTTTCCAGAAGTCTATAAAGCCTTCTAAGAATACTTCGTGAACCTTTCTCTTCATCATTATTTTCTTTCCACATTCAGTTAGTAACGATCTTATGAACTCATCTTTCACTTATAGATAATGAAACAATTGGAAACGTTTGAACGTCAAGATAGCATTCTAGCTCATCCGAAGATACCTTTTCGACACGTTATATGTGCTATTTCCACATTATGTATGACTTTACTCTTCTCTAATATTCACGTCTTCAACTTCACAGTTCTTTGTATGAGCGAACAAGGTAAAAACATTCTTTTACTTCTTCTTTTTTTTTTGCTTTCAATACTTTCCTTTCTTTTTTCTTCATAGCAACGACTACAAAGTTGTGAGAGGGCAGGGGAGACAGGAGAAGTTGTAATTTTGATTCAAATGATTCATTTCAGCTGACAACTCAACAGCTATAGCATATAATTATACAAAACAAGAAAAAGATCTTTTATTGGCTGCCGGATATCTTGGACCGTTTCCGGCAATGATTCCGTTATACTATATGGTAGCCAAATACGGTGTTAGGTGAGAAGTTTTTAAAAATTTTCTGTAAAAGAAAATGAAATAGTTGATAAATTCATGCCCTTGAAAATTGATAACACTTTTGAACATTTTGATCAGGCCGTGCCCCGGGGTATCTCTCAAAAATTTTTCAAAATGATTCTTTCGTACATTGTAAACCAAAAAGGAACTAAGCACTTCATGAATATTGTATTGTTCTCCATTCTTTGGAAGTTCATATAACTTTGAAAATCATTTGATCATTAAAACATCGAACACACAAAAACTGTTTCAGTGTGTCCATGGCATTCTGTGGATTTTTGTCATTCTTTGCAACCCTCTTCTCACCCTTGGCTGCTTACTACGGCTTCTGGCCATTTATGGTTATGAGATTGATCCAAGTAAGGAGAAACATCGGTGTGCAGATGGTGGGGTTGATTTTAGGGAGTTCCAGCAGCTATAACATCTCCTGTTATGAGTGTGATCACTTCACATTGGTCTACCTTAGAGGGTAATGGAGTCTATGTATCTATTCTAGCGGCCCACTATCAGGTATAGTTCCACAACAATTTTTTGTGAACAAGTAAGTGTGAGTTTGCGAAGAGAGCTGCAACCATGTCATGAGAGAATCTTCTGATCGCTAAACTCTTCATTCCCAGTTTGCTTTTACATCTTCTCACATGACTTCTCTCAAACACAACAGTAAAGGGAAGAGGAAGGATGAGAGAGAAAGAGAAGATGAACGATGAACAGAGAAGGATGTGTAAGCTTTGGCGATGTTTAGTGCCGAAAAGATTCATAATTCGCTGAATAGCTATAATGTGCCAAATATGGACGTCATCTGAGATTATCTGACGTCAAAAGACTTCTGACCACAGAATAGCGTCCCTTCTGCTATTCTGCGAAACGATCGACCTTGAGTTTAAATGAAAATCACGAACAACATACTGATTGTGTCAAATAAACAAAAAAAGGGAAAAAAGAAGATTTCTAGTTAATATCGTAAATCATAAGAATATCTGACAAATTGTTCCTTTCGGTTCACATGCACTCAGACATCAGAGAACATTAATGATTATCTATTAAAAAAAACTGTTACACAAATAAATAACAGAAAAATCAGCAGAATAAGTTGGTTAATCAGGTTTGTCTAAGGTTAAAGCTTACACCGTATTAGGTCATGACTTTGCTTTCTCTTTCTCTTTTTATACTTCCAACAAACACAAACAAACAAAGAAAATAATGATTCAACATTCTCTTTCTAGTTGGCGCCATTGTTAACAATGCCCTTATCGGCTATCTTGTGTGAATCATTTGGATGGGAATGGGTTTACTATACACAAGCTGTCTTGACAGGATTAGCATATTTGGCATTTGCAGTCATCCATTCTGACAAACCGACGCATAGCCGGTAAACTTTCCACTCCATCGACATCAAAATTCAACAACATTTCTTTCAGTTTCGTTTCTCGATACGAGTTGAGAAAAATAGAAAAAGGAAAATCACATGAAGAGAAACATGTTGAAAAGTATGTTTACACCATAATTCAGAATTAGCTGAGTTATCATTCAGGGCTCAAACTCCAATCAAGGAAATTTGCAAAACGTGGTCTATTTGGGGAGTGTGGCTATCATCTGTGGGTGGGACCATAGGATTCTCCATTTTCCTTCAATATGGCCCAACTTATTTGAATCAAGTGCTGATAAAGATGATAATAGTTATAAACTTGTGTTCTTTAAGGTTCTACACTATAGCTTAACAACAACAGGATGGTCAGCGGCTTTACCCTACATTTTCTCCTGTGTTGCACGTATTTTCGCCCAGCCGTTGACAGCCAACTGCGAGTTCTTGGGAGAAAAACTGGCTGCCATTGTTAGCACAACGATAAGTCAAGGTATTTTTGCTCAAATAAGGAAATGGTGATGAAATCAATTAAGGAACTATGGCTTTGTCCTTTATTGTTCTTGTTTTCTGTCCAGTTGAGTGGAGTCAAGTTGCTTCTGTTTGCTATTCTCTAGTGATTGTCGCGAACGGCTTGAATGGAGTCGGAATAACTCGAAGTGCTCAACTGGTAATGATCAATTACATTTTAACTTTTTTTATATGATTGTCTTCCAAGGTTTCACGTCAACATCTTCGTTTTGTGTACACTGTCCGAGGTTTTGCAAATTCGACAGTGGGCTTATTCCTTCCCCTTCTGGTAAATGTAATGGCACCTGATAACACACATGCGCAATGGACAAAGCTTTTCATGTAAATAAGACTCTGAGAAAAAGCATAGATATACAATGTTTCAGAGTTATATTCGTTATAGTGCTCAGCTCAAACATCTTTTTCATCCTCGTGGCTGACGTGAAACCAGCCCCATGGACAATGGGCACTGTAGAGGTTGATGACAGAGATTCAGACGAAGATATCGAGAAAATGGAAGACAAAATAAGAAAATTGGAAGGAGATGAAGAAGAAAAATATTAAAAGTTCTCTACCTTAGCAGGTATTTTATGTACATATCGCTCATGTAATCCGCTAGTCATTAGTTCTCTTCTTGTATTTGATTTCGAATATGAAAAATGACCGACAGAATACGGGTTGGATGAAGAAGCATATCGTTCATCCTTCAAATATAATATTTTAACCAAGACGAATTCTATATGAAAGATGTCTTGTCTCATCTTTTTCTTGTGTTTTTCTGTTCTACAAGTTCATCCTCACAGATGTCTATCTGAGAACCTCTCTGACTTATCCTATCCAAACCTTTCATTTCAATGAAATTTGCTTAAACAGTTATCGTCTCTGTAGTAAATCCTGTTTGTTAATGTTATGATTGAAGAATAAATATAATTTCTTCTTTAAATAGAGAAGTAAGATCAAGTAAAGCCTTGCTGATATCAACCAATACACCAATCATGATAAAGCCTATGTTATTGGTTATGTATGTTCCTTCTTCTATGTTAATATTATATGTTTAATAGTATTTCATATAACTTACATTATGCTATTGCTCGAACTCCAAATCAAAAACTGCTTGAATGTTGTCATGCAGACAACACTATGATTGACAAAACCTGCGCCCAAAAATACTGTCAAATTCAAATGATTAGAAGAGAGAGCGTAAGTTTCCATTACAACAGCAAATAAACATTCAATCAAAGGTATTTCCTTTGATTGCTGAATGTGGCTCTAAAGGTAATACTGTCGGTAATATATGGAACTGTGTATCATCTAGAGCAGATCATAGACCTTGCTGTCGTCAATTAGTTCGTTTAACTTTTAAAGAGAAACAAATAAAGAAGTTTTCTTGTTTAAGAATGTTTCGGAGAAGTGTATGGCATTCTGTAATGCGAAGAAGGATGCCCCGAAAGATATTTTTCAATACGGTCCTTGTTTGATGTATTTCAACGTTTTCAAACAGTGCTTCACTCGCTACCTTCGCCGCCACCCAGCTTATCGCGGATAGACATTCTTCAGCGAGAGCAATCAACTTATTTTGTAATTAATATCATAAATAAACTATTTTTTTCCATTTTTAAACTGAGATTCAATAGTCAGTCGAAAACGACGAAAAATGAGAGCCGTGAAAGCGTGGAAGTTTTCACGTGGATTACGTGACTTTCACGTCACGTCAGTAGTTCATTTTGAAAATCATTTTATTGGTAACTGGTCTTATCCAATAATAACAAAATGGCCGATAAATCAGCTTTCGTACCTTTCGACATGAACAACGTTCATCGAGACAATGATGCAAACGATGATAACATGGACATTGAACTGTTTGGAACGAAGGTAATGTTTTTGATTTGAACACTAACACATTTTTTATTTTATCAATTACTTTCTTTGTGATTATCATGAGAAATCATTCCAGCAAGCAGAAGCTTCAGCTCCAGCTGTAACTGATGAACGTCCTACAGCAACTCAAACTGTGCCATCATTAACTCCTTCACCAACCCCAGCCGTTTCAAAACCTTCTCCCAAGAAGATTGAATACAAGAAATCGACAACATATAAGAAGACAGTAGCCAAGTAATGGCCATTAATAAAAGAATTTTCTTCCAACAAAAAACTCTTTTTATTATTTCATTTTATTGTTTTCAATCATTGCGATAGGAAGAGAGTTCTTGAAATCAATTATATTCGAAGAATCTGAGAAACGGACGAGAGTGGAAGGGAAACTTCAACAGGTTTCCCCCTTTTTTATTTTATTTTAAAAGAATTAATACGAGAAAAAATGACGAGAGGATTGTAATTCTACAGAGGCCATGAATGGATGTGGTGGATAGCCTGGGGGAACATTTCTCAAGTGATGTCTTAACTGTTGACTGAAATTTCCATGAAAACGAGAATTTCTTCTTCTCATCCAAATTGATCTGAACGATTGTTGTGAGCGATTAAATGGAAACTTTGCCTTTTCTTCATGCTCAAATTCAGTTTATTGTCGTCGTTTCATTCGTTTAAATTATCCTTTTATGGTGCTTGTTTCTTCCTCACTTCTATTCGAACCCGAAACCTTACAACCGTAACGATCTTCATCAAGAAAATCAGCTTCTTTATCTTGAGATCTTCTTCACTTCCCACTAGTTTTCAAATGAATTCCCTCCTTCTATCCGTTAAATTGAATGTTATTCCATCATTTATGTCATTCTTCATCTTTATTTTCTTGAGAATCATTGAGCTTTTCATCGTTCACTTCTACTGACACAGTGATGAGAACCTTGTGGGTAAACCGTCTTCGTCTGAGCTTGTTCCTTTCATCCCCCGCAACCCAAACGTGATCACTTATCCACCAGTTAAGAATTCCAACATCTCCTAACAGTCAATTGTATTCTCAACATAACAAATGAACTATTGTTTTATGAAATCAATCATAACTTTCTCTTTATTTCTTGACGAAAAAAACTGATTTCACTTAATCATCTTCTATCCGATTCAAAGCCGCGAACATTTCTCTTGTTTCCTTCATTCTCACTTTCCTTCATTATTTGACCCAAAAATTTTCCACAAAATATTATTTTGCGCTTCATTGTTCATTTGCAAAAGAGGAGTTCTCTAAACTCATATTTTCCGTTGATCCATTGATCGAGCTTCAACTTTGATAAAACTGGTAGGCGTCTGTTTGCTTGATTGACATATCCATCAGTTCCTTCCTCTTAATTGTGTTTTCAAATGGTTTCACAACAGTAACAATGTTTTTATTCAAGGATGTTCAAGTTTTTATTTATTTTGCCTTTGGTTTTTGCGCAGCAACCCTCTTGGCAGGGTCAAGCTCCTCCTCAGCTGGTTCGAAATCCTGATGGCACCCAGGAATGGCAAAGTGTGAGTCAACAGATCTTGTTCGGGTTAATTGAGCCTGTCTAGGGTAATTTACGCTGGAATCCTTCTCTTCAACAATGGTTTCCAATTTCTACTGATCAGCAACTCCAAGTATTCAGAATCAAAAAATAAACTCATTTGGGATTTCCACTTTTCTTTTAGGTAGCTCCTCAACCAAACCCAGAAGTTGCAGTTGCAGCAGCCGCGGCTCCTCAGAAACAGGCTTTGACAGCTAAACAACAACGTCTTCAATCGATGTAAGAATCATTTTATTTAATTTTGAAGTATATTTCATTCTTTCAAGCTATGGAGTACCAGGAAAACGAAACGCGAATCAAAAACTACGCACATGCTGTAGAAACTTGAAAGAAGCGGATGTGGACTGTCGTCGCCGCTATTGCGACTTCAATGCTCTGAGAGCTGACCAGGTGAGATATATGAAGAGAGCGAATCAGTTGAAAATGGGTACATATAGGTCATTGGATTTATGGCAACCTGTGCGTCAAGAGGACCAACAGTAGGACAGATGTGGGATTGCGCATCATCTCGTGTTGATCACACCGAATGTTGCTCGAATGAGGGAGTAAGATGACTTCAAAAGCTTCCAAAATAAAATAAAAATAAAAACTTTACAGGTTCTTGACCAATGTTTGCCTTATTGTGAGACAACAAAAGGAGTTCCGACTGATTATGTCAAGTATATCGTCTGTTTATCTCAATTCGACAAGATTCGGACTTGCTTTTACAATTATCTTGACAAGCATCCAAACATCGATGGGGAGGATTAAGTCACCTGAAACAGTTACCAATTGTTAATTGAATGATGTAAATATTTGAATTATAAATTATTTTTAACAATTTTTCACCAAAAACCTCAAAATGAGATATTGTTCTTTTTCTGTTTCATTGTTGTCTTGAAAGCAGCGACGAACGGTTGAACGCGTTTACTCTCTTTCTCACCTTGTATCTTCTATCTCTTTCTCTCTTTTATGTGAAATAACCTTTTGACAAGACGAACACAAGAAACATGTAAGTTTAGGTTATAGACTTAATCCTCCCGTGGTCATCGGCTTACATACCCACAGAAGCTGCAAGCAGTCATTGCTCCTTCAAACTGAAAGCAGTTTGTTCAGTCCAATCAGTCATTGGAATATGCAAAACGGCTAAATTGGAACAGTTCCAACAGAAATTTTTCTTTTTTCTTCTTTTTTTTTATTTCTTTCTGATCTTTTACCCGCGCGGTTGTTATAAGTAAGGTGAGAAGTCTATTTGTCAACATCTTACATTTCTCTTCTCTTGAATGAGATGTTGATTTGAGGGAAAACTGTTTTCTAACTGGTTCTAATTAGATGAGAAAGGAAAAATAGTTTGTCAACTCTACCAACGTAAAGAAAGCAAAAGCTTTGAGAGACAAGAGCACATCGGAACTTTGCAAAAGCTCTTCCTTCATCGCCACCCACAATCATCTGCTAACATTCCAACCATTTTCGGATGAAATTCATCTCCTTGTTCTCTTTCCACATCCTCAATGAAAATGATTCATTTAGACAACATTTTGTTTGTAAACTTCTCATCAGACATTTCAACTTCAGATAATATTCGTACAAGCAATCCCGTACAAGCTGGATTCTCTACAGAATTTGTGGTCAGCTATCACTAGCTATAAGTAAGTTCATTTTCAAACAATTTTTTCTCTTTTTGAACTTGGGATCTTATTTTCTGTTTGAACCTCATCATTGTTCTCCTGCATGAAATGATTCATTGTTAATCTATAGTGCTCATGTCCATATTTGGAAACAGACAGTTTCATTCCTAATAACTATCTTCATTCAATACTTCTAAAGCTTATGTGAGATGTGTCAAAGAGTAAGATTGCTTCTTCACAGTCTCAAAGAGTATGTTTCCTTTCTTAATAACTCCGCTTTGACCCTAACTACAAGTGGAAAGTAATCAGAAAAAAAGTTTTTTTCTTTCATTTTGGTTTATTCTATCTGTTTGTTCGCTCAAATTGGATGATAAAAAAGAAATTAAGATTACAATTAGCTTTTTCCGATTTCATTTTCAATCAACCTATCACACTTGCAGCACTATGACTATTCGTCCGAAAAAAGATTCATCGACATCGTGGAGTTACAAGAATTCATTGTATGCACTTAATCCATCATATGGCTTCAACTCAAAAGAAAAAGAGAAGTAAGTTGTTTTCTATTTCAATACAATCAATTACACGTTGAACTTGCATCGAACAATGTGTATGCTTATGTAAGCTTCACGTTGCTTTCAAATATGGATAAAGCAGCTCATACATGTATCTTCACACTATTTTAATCTTTTCTCAAAATATTACGTGAACAGTAACATTACTATACGTGACCTACGTGATATTCGAAAATCACAACAGTTCATCGTTCTTTTTACTCTGTTTTTGCTCGAAAAGCCTCTATCATCAGTGTGTTAGTTAATGACCACTTGAGTGAACGGCTAACGCACTTCAAGCTCAACAACAAGCCGAATTTTAATGGAAAAGCTGCATAGCTTCTACCGTCCCTTTGAGCCTTTGTCACCTTCCGACTAAGCCTTTCATCTTCAACCTAAGCTATTGAACTTAACATTCTATAATATTCTGCTTATTAGTTGAATAATTCTAATTTTTATTTTTTTCGTAACTAAAATCAATTGCAAGTTCAGATTTTGAAAAAAGAAAAAAAGGTTTTACCTTTATCGTTTTGTTCATATCGAACATCTTGCTCTGTTATACTCTCACTTGTGCATCATCTCGAAATACTGGATTCCCCAGTTATTCCACCCATTTTCAAAATTGTGTCTGTGGAGGAAAAGATAAGGTAAGTATGCAAGAGAGAGATGCTATGATACAGCTTTTGCTTACATGCACATTGCGTATTCAATATGATTCCATATATGGTCGTTATTGAATTCAAAGAATTGGCGCCAAAAGTGTTTTCAAAATGAGCAAATAAGATTATTTTCGTAGATATCTAGTTAGTTCCATTGTTATAGATGTATGTATATGTCTATGTTTCATAGATACATCATACATGTTTCGAAACATAGTTCTAAAAGCATTTCATCTGCTCTCCGAGAGTTTTAACAAATTTCTGCAAACAATCACAAAGTGAAAATGAACAAAAAAAATTTTTTCTTCTTGAAATACATCGAGTGGCCAGGGTGAGCATCTAAACACGCGAACAAGGACAAGAACACAAAAAATCTTCTTTTCTTCTGTTTTATTTCACAAGAAAACGATCTTCCTTTTGATGTTCAGAGATTTCTGAATTTATAATTGTCAAAAGATGAAAGATACTACGAATTAGCAAAATTTGATTTGCAAACAGACGACAGTTATAACACGTCCGATTTTTCAGTCGCCGGTTTCATTCCGGTACTACGGCACGCGCCTCGTCCGAAACACCGAGTGACAGAACGTCAAGCGATTGTTCATCAGAATCTTTGAATCAAGAAAATGAATCAGACAGGTAAAATATTATTCTTTGAATAAATGAATTAGGTGAATGGAAAGGAGACTCAATAGGACAGCCTGTGTTGATACGAAAGATGATTCAACGTCTGTTACTGATAGTGTTTACGCATTGAAAAGATTATCTTCTGTTTCCTCGCCACGCTTTCTGTGAAGAGCTCGGGGAACGTAGACGACGATAACGTCTGAGTTTTACCCTTCATCTTCAAAACTATAACGAGCTAAGGCTCACAACGAAAATGGATAAGTGCTTCACGGCCTAAAATAGTTAAAACCATCTCTTTACGGCTTGCTATTTTGCTGACCGTACATGTTTTCTTTTGCTCTTGTGAAACAGTTTCCCATTTTGTATCTCTTTCTCTCTTTCTCTCTCTCTCACTCTTTTCAATTGTTTCTCTCTATCAGCTCTACAGGTAACAGAAGCAAACTCGAGAAACATCATGTACATGGTCAAGTCAATAGTTCGAGTGGCTGAGTCTTGTAGTCCAAGAGGAAGATGTCCACTCTTCCTCCTCCTTCTTTCTCTCTCTATCTCTCTTTGAAATTCTCTCTCAATTATTTTTCAGTCACTTCTATCGATAACTACCGGCTCTTCGTAGCATATACACTCATTCACAAGCCAATGTCCACTCGTCTTCTTTTTCTGGAAATAACCTGGTAGTAGAGTTCCAGTTCTATGAATTGTATTTCCGCCTCACCAGCTTCTGCTCTTCGACCCGTTCAAACGATTTGAAAGCAGGAAGAAGAAGAAAAAAAACCATTCATCAAGCTATTCTCCTATATTATTATATTTTATTTAAACGATAAACATCATGTGTAGGTAGGTGATGATGACATTAGTCCAGCTAACAGAGATTTGAAGAACAAAACTATTTTTTGCTTGTTCCTCCGGTAAATATACAGAAGTGATAACTGTTAGGTCATAGTGTTTGAACAATTCTGAAAAAAATACTTTCTTCAATCGTTGTATAACAAGATTATCAACTTAGTTCTTAACTTTTGCTCCGTCCAACAACAATTCCCACCTTCGAACAAAAAACAGCTCGTGTTCTCGTTCTGTCCAGTAGTTGAACGTAAATCAAGTGACGATGTTTCTGGCAACACTTTTTTCAGAAATTTTTCTCGCTTTCGCAACATAAACCTTGTGCTTGTGTTAGTTCCTTAGCATGTTATAATCAGCTCTGCTCGCGTCTTTTCTCGTCTTTTTTCTTGCCACAACGATATTATGCAATATAAAGCGGTACAACATCCGGTTCTTCTTCTTCTTTTTTTCGTTTTTAATCTCGTCAACTTGGCTCCTGTCCATTGAGCTTGTTCATTCTTCTCTTCTTTTCTCTCCATTCACCTCATCTCTCTCCGTCATTTCTTCATTCCATCATTTCATCGTTTTCGCTCACCCAATGCCCACCAGATTGGTCACTTGGACAGTTCTTTCAAGCTTTTCATTTTAAATCTTTCTGTTCTTCTCCAGCCATCTTTACTTTACTATTTCTGAAAGTTTAAAAAAACATTTTCCTGTTCATTTCCAGATATTCCAAGCATTTTTTCCTTTTCAAATTGAGTTTTCCAATTTATGGATCTTGGAATATTAAGAAAAACATTTTTGTGAACAAGTTGCTGTTGTTCATGAGTTTCTTTGTAATTCTATCTGCTCATGTCCGTTCGTCTTCTTCTTCCTTCACATCTCCATTCTTCCTTTTCTTTTTGTTTTTTAACTTTCTCATCCATTTTTTAGCGAATATTTTGTAATTGACGAGTAATGCTTGAAAACAACTAGGATTTGATCCTCATTATCAGCTATGGCTAACTATTCCGTCACCAAGCTATTCCATGACGAATGGAGGTAATCATCAGAATTCTTTTATTTCTGTATAAATCTTTGAAAGGTTGAAAAGATTATCTCATCGAAAACTTTTTTCTTCCTCGATAATTCTCTTTAATATTGAGCAGAATGATTCTTCACACCGACTCGACTGACGGAGGTCAAGTCAGCTTCTGGAATTTGTCATTCGGCTGTTCTCGGTTTTTTGACAGATTTCCTTTGAGTGAATTCTCATTCTATCTTTCATTGCTCTCTTTCCTCTCTCAATGGTCAAGCCACAGACACACTCAGGTCATTTTTGTTCTTGTGCGAGAAAAAGCTGTCACGGCAACTCAAACATTGCTATTCGGCTTTGTAAACTGAATCGTCTACGATCTGTTACAAACAATTCAAATACACTCCTCCATACACGCACTCCAAAGATGGAAAAAATGCGAAAGAAAACTTTAAGAATTGTGTTTTTCTTTTTTTATGTGATTGAGTGAAAGAGAAATTCCTTGCTTAGAATGTGAGGGCAATGAGATTACAAGGGAGCTCAACTCAATGCTAAAGTATAAAATACAACTCTCTTGATTTCAGGTCATCCCGGTTGGCAGCTCTTTTCGCTATCCTATTCATTATAACCTTATTGATTGCTATATCTTTCATCACTATTATCGCTTTGTTATCAGACGGATTTTCCACTTTAACAGGTTTGTGTCTCTTCAGATTTCGTTTGAAATCGATCTTCTTCTTCACCTTCTATTGTTTTAAGCCAATCAAAATTGCTCAACAAGTACAACTCCGTCTCCAAATGCATCCAGTTTTCGAATGTTCACAAATGGGTCCTACTGTAACTCACCAGAATGCATACGACTTGGTAGAGAAGAGCTGATTCGCATATTTCAATTATTCACGTCTTCTTTTAGCTGCTAATTATTTAAACAATATGAACACGGCAGTAAACCCTTGCTCAGATTTCTACGAGTTTGCCTGTGGAAGATATTCAACTCATAAGGTATGTGAACACAGGCTGTTCATGTTCCACCGATTGCTTGATTACAGATTGTTCCTCTACACGAGAAGAAAGTAACAATTTTGAGTGAAATGAAACAGGATCTGGATCGTCATCTTAGAGGTACAGTTGATCTTCTCCGAGCTAATGGCATTAACGATGGTTTAGATATTCTGGAAAAGTCACCCCGTGATAACGCCACAAGATCTATGAAATTGTCACAGATATATTACGATTCATGTATGGATGAAGAAGCTCAGGAAGAAATGGTATTCATCATTCGACTTGCATGCTCAACAAATTTTTGTTTCAGAACACATTACCTCTGACATCTTTGATTTCACATTTGGGTGGCTGGGAATTGTTAACGAATGCTCGTTTTGATTCTAATGATTACCATTGGGAAACACTAGGTGGTCATTTATCATTATATGGAGTAGATGGACTGTTCCGAATCTTTGTTCATAACAGCTTTGTTGACAGCAAAAACCAAATGCTCATGGTTTGTCTCCGCTGAAGTTGAAAAAGCACCTTAGTTTTCAGTTTTCACCACCACGGTTATTCTTGGAGAAGAAGAAGTTCTATAGAGAAGCCCCAGCAGGCAATGTCTATTTGGGATACTACAGAAAGTATATACTTAGCTTGTTAGAATTATTAGGTATGTTATTCTTTTCAGTAAATACAAAATATTTGGTTTCAGGTGTTGATATGGAAGATGAGTCTGGAGTCATAGAATATCAAGTGAATGATATAATCGACTTTGAACGCAGGATAGCTAATGTAGTTTTTCCATATTGAAATTATTTTAGTGATTGTCTATATTTAGCTGACTCGAATAGAAAATTCTCGGAATCACACTTCTATTAACAACGTCATGAAGTACGGAGAATTCAAGAAACGTTATCATCAGGTATCAACAGGCAGCACTGTTGTCGAAAAATTTTATAATCGCAGATTGACTGGGATTTATTTTTCAATTCCGAGCTTCGAAGCCATGTTGGAATACTGTCTGACAACCTGCTTATTAATGTCGTTGATACAAGTTACTTTGACAACATATCTGCCTTAATCAAATCCAAGCCTCTAAGGTATAGCATTCGCATGTTAACGATATAGCGTTGCTCTGTTTTTAGCTCTGTGAACAACTATCTGATGTGGAGGCTGGTCTCGACCTTTGATACATATCTCCCACCTAAATATCGAATCCCTTATCAAGAATTCAGGTCGAAGATGTATGGAGTAACAGCTGAAGTGAGCAATTACTAACGCTAAGATTTCGCAACTTGACTATTCAGATTCCTTTATGGGAAAAATGTGTTAAAGAAGTTCGAGAGCATTTAGCGATGCCTTTGTCGACTGCTTACGCTCATCTGTATTTTACTTTGGATGATCGACAGAAGGTTCGATCTTTCGTATCAACTTAATGAATGTCTTGATTTAAGGCTGAGGAAATGATCGCTGACTTACGGCAGTCAATGGAGCAAACGGTTCTCAATGCTGACTGGATTGATGAAGGAACTCGTCATGCCGCCCTGAGGAAAATTGAGAAAATGAAATACAAAATCGGGTGAGTTAAAAACAAAATAGAAAGCCATATCACAAGAGAAATTCAGTTTTCCGGATTCTCTTCTGAATGAGACATCCGTTTTAATGCCATTCGCCGGAGTAAGATTGACGGGCAATCAATTTTTTGAAAACGCTTTGACTCTCAAAAAAACGGCTGTCAGGTAGGCATTCTACCCTAATACGTTGTTATGATGGTTATGACGTTCAGAGAGATTCTAGCAAAAGCTAAACGAGCACCTTCAGAAGAGGAGTGGGCTTCTCCCATAATTGCCGTAGATGCTTTCCATTTCTTTACAGGAAATGAAATCAGTCTGTTTTCCTCTAATATAATTCAATTAAAAAACTTTTTTTAGTTTTTCCGGCTGGCATATTGCAGTTCCCCATGTTCGTTCCCGACGCTCCGTCATTTGCCAATTATGGTTCGATAGGAATGGGTATCGGACACGAGATCACTCATGGATATGATGATTTGGGTAAGCATATCATAGCTTTTTGATCAATAACACACACTTTGAAGGTGCCCAATATGACGATTATGGTAACTTACGCAACTGGTGGGGTGAGGAGACCATGACAACCTTCCAGAAGAAGAAACAGTGCTTCATAGCTCAGTATGGCAATAAGATTGAGCCGACTACTGAACGAAGGGTAAGCATTGTTTTACTTTCTGAAAACATTGTGCCACAAACAGGCAGACGGACGCATAACTATAGGAGAGAATATTGCCGATAATGGAGGACTCCGAATTGCTTATGAGGTGAGTCTTTCTGTTCGTTCGTTGTAAATTCTTTTCTAAAGGCTTATCAGAGGAAGTTGGCACGAGAGAAAGAACTTCGTACATTACCTGGATTATCTCAATTCAGCCAAAATCAATTATTCTTTTTGGCTTACGCTAACGTATCATCTATAAATATTAGATAGATAAAAGTCTTTTCGTTTTCAGACTTGGTGTGAATCACTGAAATCCTCAGCAATAGAATACTTGATTGACACAGATGTGCATTCACTTGGAATGTTTAGGTAGCTTTCATCAAGTATTCATATGATTCTTTAACATTCTTTCCAGAGTAAACGTTCCTCTCCAGAACTTTCCGGCATTTTCGAAAGCGTTTGAATGTCCAATCGGAAGTGGAATGAATCCATTTGAGAAATGTCGTATTTGGTAGAATCAACCTAGCACAACATCATTTCATTACTTTCCTAATCTGTTGATCAGAAGATAATTGAACCAAGTTCAACTAAAATATTATTATTCAATAGCACAACAACTAACAACGCATTCTGATTCTTTCCACAGATTCTTGCTCAAGCGGGTTCGTTCATTACGAGATCAAAGCATTATTGATTTGACATGTATATAACAGAAATTTCTATTGAAATACTCTTTTTTTCTCTAATATATTGTTCCTCTTAAGTAAATAAATATTTCATGCTCGCTGCCTCGAAAATCTCAGCCAAAACCATCTCGTGACACAACCGACTTCACGTCAGCAAAATTTGAAAATGAAAAGTTTCGAATGGTCCATATTGACTTCAGAATAAATCAAAATGATATTTATTGGCTCTATTGAACAAGGAAATAAATAAAATATGTTGAAACGAACAAATACTTTTCTATTGCTATAGATGAGAGGAGAACATTCTTTCTCAAATCTATCATCAGAAGATGTTCAAAGCAGAAAGAGCAAAGTAAACCCGATATTATCTCAAATCAGCCTGATTCTGTTTGTTGATTATATAAAAAGCACACTTCAAACAAATAAAACTGTTGAAGGAGTTGGGCTTCCATCCGGTGATTTGATGGTCATTCGAACGTTGTTATCTCGGGGTCGACTCAAACGACGTAGTGTATGATATGTTCGTGAAACTAAAGGCGTTTGGTATGGTGAAGGATCGAAATAGCAAAAGGCAACTGTAAGAAGTTTAGAATGTAAATTTAGAAGTGATTAAACAAACGTACGAATAACAACAATAACATTCAAAATAAATGCTGCAAGTACAAAGAATAACGCGGAGTCCAATGCTGATGATGATTGAATGAAAAAGGCTCCTGGGTATGAAGAGTCATCCTCGGAAGCCATCTGAAATAATAAGTTCTATAGTAATTATCTGCAGAATATGATTCGAAACAGTTTAGAAAACTAAAGGAAAGAAACAGTTGTGTTTGTGTCTGTAACTGTGAATGATTATCAGAATAATATAAGGAGAACAGAGAAGAATGCGATAATAATAGATGAAAGCTTCATAATTCATTGACGATCTGAGTAATGAATAGAAAAACTTTGAAATGAATCATCTATATCGGCAGAACGAAATGAAATTAGAAGAATAAAGGAGTTTGTATCTTCGAAGTATCTTATAACTGAAGTCTAGAGCAGCAGGGTTATGAGTCATATTTAAAAGAAGAGCTTTTTAATGTTTATGGTTAAGTTGAAAAGGAAAAAAAATAGAAAATAGGGTAATTCGGGAGTTTTGATTGATAGCTGAAAAGAGAACAGCAAAATAGGAGAGAAGAAAGTAATTTCCTTCATTTTTCGTCTGACTTTCCAAGTGAGTTATGTCAATGAGAAAGCGATTTATGCTTTTCTTGTTGTGTGAAAAGGAAAAAGAAGGTTTTTCTTCATAAATTTATGGGCGATTTTGTAATGAAATTGTTTGAAGAGAAAAGATTGTTTTACAACAGATGCGGAGAGAGAAATCCAAGATTTTCCTGAAACATATCCAGCAGTTCGACAGCTCGAGTATTCAAAAATGAGTGAAAATTAAAGAATTCAGTAGTGTCGGGCGCCTTTTCATTCAAAGGGCACTACGGCATCTTTCACATCCAAATATGGGAGCATTTATGCAAACATTGGTGTCTAACCTATGACAATTGCTGTTTTGAGTTTCAGTTACGAACGGAAACAATTGGAACATAACATTTCGTTGAAGCAAAAAAAAATAATTAAAACTCAAGAAAGCGACAATGGGATGATATCCTTTTTTCATTGTAAGTAAGTGAGGGGAAGAGGAGATTAGTTCATAAATGGTCAAAGCTCTCAATTTCTAAAAGAGCGAGATGAATGAAGCTTCAACAACTCACTGCAGCAGTCAGTCAAGAGCAAGAAAATGAGATGGAAATACAGAGGTATAGGAAGAAAAAAATTTATTGCAAAGGAAAAGATATTTCGTAGAGACTTTCATGAGAATAAAGAATTGATGAGATGAATTGCTTAATGAGAATCGGATCACACGTGCTCTCCCAATCCTTTTGTGGGAGACATCGCAATCGAATATTCATCTTCTCGACTCAAAGAAAATGTTGACAACAAGCCGTCAACTATGTTTTAACAAAAAAAAGAGAAATTCTAACGAATAGTTTTAACAAAGTTTGTTTGTAAAACAAAAAACAAAAAAAAAGAGAAAGAAAACGGAAATATGCATTGCATGATGTTTCGGTCTGTTTGAAACAGAGAAGCAGCATCGTGTATGTTTCAAATATGAATTAAAGTCCGAAGCAACAAGGAAGTTGTTCAGTTGGATGTAAAAAAAATTGAAGAAGGAATAAAAGCAGTTGAAAAGCAAATTTCCTTGGCTTATCAATTCAATGGAGGGGGTGAAAGATTTTAAAAAAAGTTTTAACGAAATGTCATATAAAACTGGAAGGAAGTAATTCATGGATGATAGTGACATGTGAAATCCTTTGAGAAGCGGTTTTCTCTCTGTCTCTCAATAGTTTTAGATAAGTTTTGAGTAGTAAGAATAAAGTTGTGGGTGCATATCTCGGATTTTGAAATGAGTCCTGCAATGGACAGTTGTGGATGTACTAAGAATTTGTTTTTAAGAAATAAAACTTTGTTTTGTCATAGCAAATCATGTCGAATGTCTGTTGTCTGTTAAATTAAGCTCTATTATTCACCTCAAATATTCTTTGAAAAGTACAAAACAGCTTGCGGGAAGAAAAAAGAAACAAAATATCCAAAATATAATTTCAATCGAAGAGAGGTTCAGCAATCGGCCAGGAAGGGAAGAGAAAGACGGCATTCCTCTCAAATGGTCAGGCAATTTGAAAGAAGCACAAGGAAAAGAGAGAGAGAGAGAGGGGGGGGGGGCTTGCAGAAGGTTTTTTTTGCTCAAAAACCGAAATCCTGAAGGAGTTGATGAATAAAAAATTCAAATAATTTCCTTTTTTTAGAATATTAAGAAGGAAGGATGAAAGAGGTTCGCGAGGATCTTTGAGGTCGAAAATATAAAGTTGTTATATTGCCACGGAAAGGCAGAAGGTTATGAATGCTTGAAGATTACTTGATGATTCACTTCTCTTGAGATTGTTCAGAAGTCCGGAAGTTTGAAAATATTTAGGAACAAACCCAGGTACCTCGTACTTAAGAAAATCGTTCTGCACAGAAAATTGGCATACTGTACGTGCAGTGTGTACGTAGCCAATCAACAGTATGGAGTACCATGATTTCAGTAATTAGTGGACGGCTGGGTGGGTTACGATGTGGGTTCATCCCAAAAAAATTTTTTTTAGTATGCTGTTGTTCTTTGAATGACAAGTGCCAGTTGTAGTTGGATGAAGGATAAGCTAGGGATGTAATGGGAAATGCCGAATTCATTGAAAAAGGAGAAAGATACGAAGGTTTTAATAATGTTTCCGATATTCTTGACTTTTTTGATGTTGGGAAAGATGAATTCAACTCTTAAATAGGTTCTTAAAGAAGTGTGAGAGATCTGAGATGTTTGAGCCGAAGTGAATGAAAACGTGCTGCATATGAACTAGCCTTCTCCATTGTTTTTCGCTTCACTTCGGCAACTACCTCTCTTTAGCTTGCAAGCAATTTTACTTAAGCTTAATGACTTTGGGATATGCAGGAAGATGGCTAGAGGATGATGTTGTTCAATAAAGGTTACAGGGTATTTCCTATAATAATTCAGAAAAAATTCAAGATATACAAACGAACATCACTCGAGTAAATTAGTAGAATTGCGTTACATTTCATGTCTTTCAGGCAAGCTGATAGAGATATAAGAGGAAAGTTATCGAAGCGATTACACGATGTGCTCACAAGCACTGCGTTGATAGAATTTGAAAAAAAAAAGATTGGAAATAATATGAAGCTCGTGGGAGAGAGGGATGGCATATCTGCAAGACGAGAGATTTGTTTGAAGATAATTGTTAAGAAGATAAGTCAAAGATTATAAATGTTTATATGCATTTTCTTCTCTATTTCCTTCAATTATAAGAAGTTGATAGCATGGAAAGAAGGACTTTCGTTTCAAATTATACGCTCCATCTTCATGTATGAAATTCATTTCATACCCCTCTCGACTAAAAGCATAATAACATAGAAGGAAACAGGAAATGTATTCTGGGTGTCTAAACGTTGAGAAAAAATAGCGAACGAGGCTGAGATTATTAACTCAAAATCTGCTGAATAAGATGTATTTTGAGAACTCCAACCTTGTTAAATGAACTTTTGGTGTTTTTTCCGAAATGAGAGGAAAGCAGTTGTCAGATATTTCCTTTTTGACGTTCAACACTCACAAGCCACGTGCATGAAACGAAGCTAAACGGTTCCGTAAAGGAGGCTTTGATGTAATTTCTCGGCTTTTCCCCCCTTAAACTCAATTGTCTGTTTGATCTTAGCTCAAATTCTTTTTTATTTTGTCAAGAAATCGAATAGAGTTGTGAGAATGCAAACGAAGAAGGAAGTCTTGTCTTATCATTGTTTTCCACAATTGACATGTCATGAAGAGTCAATCAAATGATCATCATGAAGCATCTTTCAAAGTCAAGAATGAACTTTTGTTTTTTTGAACAAAAAATAAATTACAGGTAATTCAATTGATATTCGTTAGTTTCTGTTTCTCAAAAAAAACACGTCGAAGTAAGGAACTCGAACGGAGTTTAATGAAATATGAATGTAATAATCGAATCGATGTCTTTAAGTCAGGCACAATCACACACACACACAGACACATAGAGAATTAAAGTGAAGAATTCGTTTTACCGGCTTATGATTGGAAAATGAGAAATGATGAGGATCAGCTGGCGCATTGGACATCTTATTCGTGTCAGTCGGCTATTCCAGAGAAATCTGTAAAGAATCATTTAAAGTTCAAATCAGGCACCGCCTAAGATCATAGAAAGAAGAATGTTGAAAATAGACAGAGGGAGATCTCTTCCATTTGAGGCTGATGATCTGTCATTAAGTTTGTTGCTTTTCCTATTAAAGATATGAAACATGAGTTACGAGGTAAACGACAGCTTTCTGATTGGCAAGTGTGAGTTTCGAAAACACCACACTCTGCTGAGCTTAAACATCACTCTCTCAGAATTTGCTCGTGATATTTTACACTTTCCGTGTTGATTTTTGGAATGAAAATTCAGAAATCAGTTGGAAACGAAAAAAACTACTTTTCTGAATCCAAACAGATGGAGGAGCAACGAGAAAAAAACGATGACAATGCAGTATGCAAATCAGCAAAGTGAGGGAGGATGAAAGTCATATGTGAAGAGGAATAGGCGTGTCTCCAACTTTCTTGTTAAACTTGAATTATAAGAAATAAAAAAAAGAAACTTTCATTCATAGATGAACAAAACAAAAGGAATATCAGAAGATGAAGACGAACAATACGGGTATGATCTGTTAATGTGTTCACTTATTGAAATTATGAGAATGAAACGCTTCCCAACTACAATATGTCACCAGCTGTAGAGAGACTCAAGCTTATATGTTATCATCATTGAAGATATCGATTCTAAATATCTTGAGAAACTTAATTATTCTCATTTGACGTGAAAATTTTGACGCTCACGCGAGCTTTCATTTTGTCAACTTCGAAGTAAGAGAGCGGTCTGGTTTCTTAGATACTCATTATTCTCACGGACTCATATCATTATGTTGTAAGAGGAATGAGAAAAGATAATTATTTTGAAGCCGAGACAAAGACGAGTCCTTGTTTTCTAGAAGCTCATTTAATAAAAAAATGTTTTATTACTTTCTTCTTCAACGACCCGAAGTATAAAAAAAACGAAAAAATATAATTAGAAATGTAAAATTTGCATAAATAGGCAAAAGCAACATTGTAAATAACAATCTATAAATCGATTTTAATTGATATGATACAATACCATAGAATGGAAGTGTTGTAAATGTTGAAAACAACATGGACAAATGAAGAACTTCGTTCTTTTACTTAATCCGTCTGATTATCAGAATGACGATCAATATTGATTTCTCGTATAGTTGCTTGAGCCATTGCTCCAAGTAAAACCTCAGGGCAAGAAACGAATGCGACATGATCATTACCATAGGATGAACAGAGATCAGTTACCTACAATTTTATATATTATTATAATTGATAGTAATCATTAGCTCCAATTACCTGCTTACGTAAATTCACATCTGTGGTTACCCAAATTGTATAGACACCTAGGGGATTTTGAAGAAGACATTCCTCTAGCATGGGTAGATCCGAGAGCGAATCTCCGCATATCAACAAATTTCCCTCCTTCAAAAGCATTTTTTTATATAAGTCTGACTTTCAATCAAACCTTCAAAACGCAGTGCATCTTTTCGCAGAGTAATTGCAATCCATGACCTTTGTTCCAAACTTTTCCTGATTCTTTTGCCTGCAAGAGAGGGAATTTGATCAGAAGCCGTCACTTCTTCCGAATTGAATGAAAGAGGAGATCATTGAGGAAACCTACTTTTAACAAAATTTTTATATCAAGATCAGTTCTATTGACAGTCAGAATGTTTCCAGCTCTATCAGATCGTTCAGAAATCTTTGAAATTTCAGCAAATAATCTGTCACTTTGAGCCTTTCCAACCTATTAAAATAGAATGATAAGTTATCAATCTAAGATAGATACTAACAGATCCATAGATATCTTGGTGAGCAATAGTCAAGTGCCCATAATGTTTCTGCAACCCTGATCCCACCCAAGTGAATGGCTTGAACTCGTGTTCTTCAAGCAGTTGAGATATTTCTGTGAACACCTATAAGAAATGTTATTAAAGACAGAATAGAATCAAGATATTCTTACACTATCTAAAATTGCTAGATGATTCTCCGGAATACTCGTGTCTTTGAACTTATTAGTAGGATCAATAAACCATTCACGTCCTCCTGAAGCTCCATAATAATAATATCCGGGTGGAATGGTTGATACATCGAGGATTCCTTTAAACATACAAATTATTTTTCCAATTTCCAAGACATTACGCAATACCAATGTGCATGAGTGGAGCAGTTGTAAGGATACAACAAGTTTGAGCACAACGACGTGCAAACTGAGCCTGAATAAAGATAAAAGAATGAAAGTTTCAAAGATCAAATGGTCTGTTTATGTTTCAAATGAATATCATCAACATTCATTTGAATGTTTCTTCACGTAAAATTGTGTTCTCCCACGTATTCACGTCAACTCTCAATTCACCTCATTCTAATATGTCCAGAAGCTCAGAGCGGTTGTTTTTCTCGTCGTAACGCCTTTTCATCAACTCCCTTTCGTTTCTCTCTCTCTCTCTCTTTCTCTTTTTTTTTTTATTTTTGCTCTAAAAATTGAAAGAAGAACCTGAATAACTCCAGAGTATGCTGGCTGAATACTACTAGGATAAGAGCAGGAATAACTTTTCAATGTTCCATCGCGATCAGTGAAGAAGTATTGGAAGTGATCAGCTTGATAAAGTAATTCTACTGCCTAAACCGCTACAACATAAGCATATAACTATCTGTTTGACTTACTCCTTGTACTTCAGCTAAGAACTCTTCTTCTGAAACGCTAGTTGAAGTTGTCAGGGTCTGAAAACCGCAAAAACATAAAGATTTGTTGTTTTAACAAAAACAAATTTTGATATAGCAGAGTTTGGACAACAAAAACAGGAGAATTTTTAAAAACACAATTTTATTATTTTGTAATTCATTTATCAATTAAATAAGCTCTCGCTGAAATAATTCTTAGCCATGTTGACGAGATACGAGGGAAAATGGAAAATTTTGATAAAGCACATGTTATTCATCTCAAACGGCAGAAGAGAATGTGAAGGGCAACATTACAAGGAATGAGATTTTTGATATTATTAGTTCAGATAATGAAAATATTTTTTTTGCAATGGAAAAGAAACAAAATTATAAGTTTCGTAAACCTTTTTTCTCCATAAAAAGCCATTATTGAAGTTATTCAAGTGATCAATGATGTCAAATGAGGAAAAACACAATCAGTGAGAAAGGCAGAAGAAGCCATGAATTAAGCTGAGATTCTCAACTATCAGATACAAAATGCTAATTATCGTTTTCGATCTTTAATCGTATCAGCCACCCATCTAATTCCTTCACTAACGCCTTCCCCAGATATAGCAGAACAGGCAGCTATTTGCCATGCTCGATCACGAACTTCTGTCAGTTTCAAGCGTGCTGATATTTCGGAAGCTTTAGCTGATGTTGGCAAATCCTATAATAAGCCCAGCAACAGATTATATCATATATCATTCTTATACAAATAAGGAAAGTTCTGACGAAGATGATTGCCATCAGAAGAACTTTACTACTTTCCCTTATTTGCCACCAACCTGTTTGTTGGCAAAAATGAGGACAGGAACTTTGTCCAATTTTTCTTCTTCCAATAACTCCATTAGTTCCATCCCCGTCTCATCAAATCTAGAGAGTTTTGTTAGAAAATCCATAAACATCTTGTAATCCTGTGTATTCCTATAGCCAGAGTCAGAAAAGAGTTTGTTGAAATCACCTATTAGATGAAGCAACAATAACTTTTCCTTCGACTACTTATGGGAAGACAGAAAGTGAGAAACATCTTATGATAGCTTAGAAGATGTAAGTACACCAAACAACATCGAAAATACCTTTTACGATCGCTACTATCGATTACATAGATCAATGCATCCGTATTATCAAAATAGTTTGACCAGAATGGTCTGATTGCTCGCTGGCCGCCAATATCCCAGACGTTAAGTCGAATATCGCCGTTAGTAACAACGGATTTCACATTAAAACCCTTTGATGGAGAGTTAAATGAGTTAGGAATATGGAAAATCTACCTTGGTTGGAACGACGTTATTGATATCTTCTGTAGATATTTGCTTAAGTAATGTCGTTTTACCGGCATTATCGAGACCGAGCAATAATATCCGAATTTCGCGTCCATTGTTTGATTTGAATGATTTGATTATATCTAATAAGCCCATTTTTGGTAATCGATAATACCAGGTGTGTAGTTAAGTCAAATATGGAATGATAGATGTTGAGTAGATATAGAGTCGAATTATCGCAATCTGTTTACTCGATAAGCTAATGAGCTCTTGACGACGTCCAAAACTGCAGAGCTTGAGAATATGGGGAAAGTCGGTTGATAGGAGAGAAATAGTTAAATTACTCTATACTATTCTCTCAATGGAAGTTATCCAATAGAAGTATAGATGGTAGAGAGAACGATGATAAGCTCCGAAGTTCAAATCGAATAGTAAGAGAACAAGTCTTTTTAATGGTTTAACTTATCTCACAGGAACGTAGGAGCGCAACAACCTCTGTGCCTGAAAGCTGAATGGACTGAAAGAGAGAAAGAACGAAAGGTGTGTCAATATATGGCCAAATGCACATAGACACACAACATTTTACCAGAAATAGACTAGCCAATGGCTGTGACAGATAATGACAAACTGCGAGAACCGAAAGAAAAAGAGCGAATAAGCCATCTGAAGGCGTTGCTAGGCGACCTCCTTCGTCTATCTCTCAGACTGCATTTTACATGGCTACTTCGGCCATATTATCCATTTATCTTTCCAAAAGCCTCTTTGCTCAGAAATATTAGAAAATGTAATTGAAAAAACAATAATTTTGGAAGAACAAATTTGAAAAAAAATTGAAAAGGAATTGAAAATGAGATGAAAAAACGAAAGATAATCTGTTCGAGGAATATGGGTGCTACAACTCATGAATAGGATGTATGGATGCAGAGAACGCACTTCCACATGAGAATCTTCGATTGTAAACTTTCAATTATATGAAATAATTAGAATTTTCCTCTTGAGAATATATTGGATTTTCTTGATCGGAGACTTGACTGATTGAAAAGGGAATGAAGGCTTGGCGCTACTTCAATTGATGTTGAACACGTTGAGATAATTCATGAAGAGCAGAAGGAAAGGGAGATAACCCCAGTCGCTTGCCGATCTGCACTTCAAACTCGTGAATTTCGAGTCATTTCGAGTCATCATCCATGGTTCGAATTGGGCCGTGATAGAAGAAAGCGTTTCTTTTCATAAACTTTTCCAATTTCTTAAACGTTTTGATTGACTAGTCATTCCAAAAAACCTTTGTTAAACCAGTTGTTTCAAAATCTTCCAGTTGTCTTCCAACAATCATTTTTCCATTATTGTGCTGCAAAAAATCTTCCTTCTGCCATCATTTCTATATAATAGAGCATATCATTTCTTTCTCGTGATCAGTTCCAGCGATCATTTAATGAATTCATAGAATTTCAGGTGAGCAACTAACACCAGTTCAAATTTCTGCGAATTGGGAAAGCTTTCCCCACACAGTATGAAGAAAGTGCTCCAGCTTCTTATGTTCATTCAGCTATGTTGTGAAGCTTTAGCGGAAACTTCTTGCTTCAATCCTGTCTGCTCAAGACTGTTCGTTGACGCTACTTCAATTATAACATGAAGCAAGAAATTATTTTCAGAAACGAAGATTTCTGTTATTATTTCGGGAAGTCGAGTTGTTACCAACTAATGTGTCTTTGTTCGGAAGACTGTAAAACTGCCAAGCCTTTCTGGTGTGTTGAGAGTAAGAACGAAGTGCAGAGCATAGCGGAACTTGAAAAGGTTTGTACTTTTGGATTCAAACACTGAGCTGATACGAGTTTCAGCAAATTCCGATCATTTCTATGAATTGTAACGATCTTCGTGCGAAATGTATGGAGCAGAATGCCAGAAGCTCAGGCCATTGTTTCTTTTATGACAAAACGTGTTTGAATGAAACATGGACCGCCAATAGAACAGTTGAAGACATGGTAAACTATATTATAACGCTGAATGTTCTGATAAGTTTTACAGGATCGATTGTATCCTGATTTAATAGCTTCTAAGATCGAAAAAAGAAAAAGAAATAAGAAACGTTGGCAATTGTGTGGGAAACTCAAGAAACGATGTGATGAACATGAGCATTTAAGTTGCCGACGATTTGATACTCATTGCAAAAGAGTTCACAAGTTAACACATCATCAGCCAAAGGCCAATGAAGGATCATTTAATTTCATGTTTTATTGCTTCATATTTTTCTTTTTTAATATGAAGTTGATTTAAAACGTGGAAAAGAAAACGAAAACTAGTGTTCTAGGAAAGATTTGTCAACTTTTGCGATTTTCAATTAACAAAAAAAAACTAACCGCCACAAATTGTTCCACATTGTCAACATCATCACTTTGTACATATTTCAAGAAAGATAAATCCTATAACAGTTTTTTCGTTTGTATATAGTGGAATGGAAGAGCTAAGCTACCTTTTCGAACTCTGCAAGCTCGTTTTTGATATCGAGATGAGCTCGATCTGGAGAATCAAAGCTCGATTTTAAAACGAGAGTATGATTATTGTATGTACAACTGTTTTCGAGCGATTCCTGAAAAGATTCTTCGTTGAATCATTTCCACGGAGAACACGTGAATATTTATTGCTTCAATTTTTTTCATTTTTGTTGTTCAAACGATACGAAACGGTTGCTTTAGTTGATTCGCAAGTTGTAGGTAATAACTTCAATTATTATTTTCTTAGTCAGAAATTAACAATTAAAATTTACTATATCAGAGTTGTGGAATGAAACAATCAAGCTATGTACATACCTTTGCATTTCTCAAACTGATTGCAAAGTGTGCTCTAATCGGAATTCCTTTAAGAACTCTGTCGACAATTTGCCGACGAACGTTACAAGTTCTCATCATTAAAGAATAAAAATCATCCAGCGTTTCGATCTAAGAAGAAAAGATATTATCATGAATCTCCCCACGGTTTTACAAACCTGTTGAGGCCGGATAACTTGATGAGTCCAACTTGGATCGAGGAAAGCGCTGCTCCATCTTTCAATGTCATTAGCAAGAATGAACTCATTCAATCGATGTCCATGCTTACTACGAACTTCTTGTGTTTCCAAAGCAGCCTGATAGAAAGTATCAGCATAAACCTTAAACAACGATTAGTTTGAAAAAAAAGCGATCATGCTCTCTCAAAGAACCTCCACATCATATAGGTTATCGACACGATAATAATTTTTTTCCCCATCATCTTTATATAAACCAGAAGAAGTGAATTGGATTTCTGAACCAGCACCCGTAGAAAGAATAAGTCCTGCTTCTGGGTTGCATACAAGCATTTCTTTTGCTACCTACCAGAGAAAGTTTTTCATGAAATAAGAGAGAGTGATGATTTACCAAGTTCATTCCATCTTTTTTCGGAGTAACGATACCTATATCCATGGCTAGGTAAGCAGCAACTAATTCATTGCGAGGTAGTCCTATAGATAAAAAAGATAGAAAGTTACTTCTTGTTCGACTGAACCATCAGTTTGGAAAATCAATGGCTTCCATTCAGGGTTAGCTGGGTATTGGAAACGATCATTTATTCTATCAGCTAAAGCTAAACATTCATCTTGATATACACGATATGTGTCGACCGAACGACGATTTGTCACAGCAATCTGTCAAGATATTTCTATTTCTATTCTATTATTCAATAGTAACCTGGTAAAGCACGTCTTTTCCTATTCGTTGTGGATATTTTTCAAAATATCTTTCGTAAGCCATAAGTTTCTCTTTAATTCCTTTCGTGTAATCAAACCGTTCTACAGAGAAGAAGAAACGAGCATCAGGCAGAGGATTTTCACCGAGCACCTGAAATTGGCTATTATTCATGAAAATGTAACATATTCTCCAAACCTTGCGACGAAATCCTTCTGTCATTGCTTTTGTCTCTTCTAATGGAACAAACTTCAAGAAGTCATCATTCTTAATACTGACAGGAAAAACCCCAAGAGAGCAGGTCCAACCCTCGTGCACGGCTTAAACGCGTTGAGCTTTTAAGCTATAAGTAATTGCTAACGAACCAGTATGGATGTCCGTATTCTTATCATACGTAACAGTGATCCCTTTCAGGTACTTTTGAACCAGTTCAACATACTTCTCTCGGTCTCTATGAGTTTGGAACCCAACCTAGAGGTTATAAGTATAGTCACAGATCGAAAAGACTATCTACTGCTTGTAACAGATGTTTTACCTTTGTGAATTTCAAAAGGCCTCGAAGCATTGGTAAGCCACAAGTACCATATTTTGAAAAGAAATTCTCGGGAGGTTGGAATGGGATGTGCAAGAAGAATCCAACCTGAAAGCCCTATAGCACAACTTTGAAGATCTGGCCAAATACCTCCAAGTTGGGATCTAATGATTGCATAATCATACCAGTGAGCATAAGATGATAATCATGAATCCAAATGAAATCCTTCAAATGATAACTCTCTCTCAACAATTTTATAGTTTGCGAACCTGTGGACGACTGTTTCTAACAGCATCTATGGCAAACTGATAGTTCACCCTCACATATGCGCACCAATGATCTTTCAAAGTCTGAAAAAGTAATTTTTGGAATAAAGGTCATCATGATGAATCTCAAGTAACGATTTTTTCATCGAAACCAGATATTTATATTCGCGGGAACAAACTTGGTCTGTACACGAAATTTTTTGTTATTTGAGTGAATTTCATTTTTACTCCATCATCATAACAAAGTTCTCTCTTGGCTATTGCGAGTAGTGTGGACGATTGCCAGAAGGCCCGCCAATTCAAATGATAATTGATTTTAAGCGCACTGTTCTGACCTTTCAGAAAATCTAGAGAGCTCAATATTCAGATTTTCATAAAGAGGAGATTTCATTTAGTCTAGTTGCCGAGTTAGGTGAAATTTGGCCAAGGAACATTTTTTGACAAAACCTAATTTTCCCCCAGCCGAGAAAGACTAGACTGTTGTTTAGGGAACTGTGCAGAGCCAGGTTAGCCAGCGAATTCAATCGATTTTCCGCAGGTCATCAAATTATATATTGCTAAGAGTTTACCTTTGGGTTATCGTAGTCAGATACGATATATTCAGGAAGGTTATGGAGAGCTGGCCATAATACGCCATTACTTATTCCACCATAGTAAACCTAAATCGAAAAAAATTATACATAATTATGTAATATGATATACATTATAATCGTCTTCTTGCACAATCACTGGATTCAATTTGTAGTTCCCTCGATTGTAGTTATGAAGTACTCCAAGTAACGACATTTCTTCCCTGAAACCAAAATTACTGCTACTGCTCATTGTTGTAGACCGACCTTGCTTTTCTTTGTTGCTCTTCTTTCTCGTCAGGAGAAGATTCAACTTTCTCGTCATCTGCTAAGAAATGGAAGAAGACCTGGAGAATATGAAAAAATTTTCAATGGCTAAACCAAAATCTACATCTGCTATAGCCTGTTTGATCAGAGGCAATCCAAGAGTGTTAGTGGAAGGAGCTAGGTTCGAACAATCGGATTGAAAAGAACTGAAATATACATCAAATCCAATAAACATACAGTAAACTTGTGAATGAAACCTTCTTCGTTTCTGATTTATATTCATTCCCAAATTTGCTAGCCACATGTTTTCATGGTCTTTAGACATTACTGGATCAACACATGCCACCAAACCACCAGATCCTTGCTTGATCTCCCAATCACCCGTTTTTTCTCTTTTCAAAGATACTGGAGGAGCATTGGACACATTGATCACGCGTTGCTGAAGGATCAACATAATTCAACAAGTATTCCGATTGATGATATACCTGAAAATGATTCGTGGCTAGGCCTCCCGAACGAATTTCTCGATGATCTTCATCTTCGTTATCAGAATTGTTGCCATTCGAGTCAATAGAACGTCTTCGTCCAGGTGTACCTTGTAAACCTGAAAACATATCTATTCCGACAAGTGTATGGATGAACTCACCTTCTCCATTTTCAACCCCACAACTATCTATGCTATTGATACTATTAAAGGAATTATGACGAGATAATCTTCGTTGAAGATGATGATATCGTTCACCAAATTGCTTCGCATGCTGACCCAACAAGGATTTTCTTATTCCAGGAACAGCAGCATAGAGTTCTCTTGAAATTGATAACGTAAATTCATAGAAAATGTATGAACAATCACAAACTTCAATCGACTTTTTCCAGTGTTGATATCATATAATGTCAAGGAGAAAAGCAATGAATCACGATATTTCGTTCCTTTTGACAAGTCCGAATCGAAAATATAAGGAACGGAGTATCTATAATCAAGAAACGATTTCTATATTCATATTAGTCTCATACTTCCAAAATTGAACTGTATGAAATCCTAAAACATTCACAAGCTGCTCGAAACATAAATGTGCTTCGAATGATTTAGATAAACAGTATTCCAGTATTATGAGCAGTCCCTGTAAGAAACCTTTCACATATACACAAGTCAACCACGAAATCACCTTGAATGCTATCTCTGAGTTTGCAGCCCTTTTTCTCCAAACCACTGTCAATTGAGGAAGACCATCAGAAATTATGTCATTTATTGAGTCTGTAGACTCAAACTCAATAGACAGAGACTGAAGGGTTCTCTTCAATTGCTGAAAGAATAGTCCTAATTAGCATGAACTGGCATGGATGCGAAGATTTCATTTTTTATCAAGAATTCACATAGAACGGTTGTTCATAGTTTCTGTTTAGATTATTCATTCGCACATTCCAGATACTTGCCTCCAACAGTTGATTATTCTGTATGTTCCCCTGGCGTTTGAAGGGCTCTGCGAGTTCTGGAATGACATCTTCGTCTGAAACTGAAAAGAAAGAGTATGATGCCGATAGGGATCTTCGAAACAGTGCTTTTGTGATATTTGCATATGACTACTCTATCATTCATTTGTTTTATACTCAAAACTATCGAAAACGTTAACTCATATTCATTCATTTTTCATAACATACATCAAAATCCAACCTAATATAGTGATTTCTTCTGTCATATCCGGTAATGTTACTGAAAACAGAAAGAATAGTCAGAAGCACGAATAATATTATACACAAGGGATAAATTATTCAAAGATATGATAATGAACCAAGTTTTTTCTCTTCATAATCTAAATATAGATTGAACACAGAGTGTGAGAGATGATAAGGCTCTTCTGATAAGACCTTATTCACTTTTTGTCTTGAATTTTCCAATCGAAAAATCTAATGAAATATCACCGGAAGATGTTAAGACATTCAAGGATATATCAATACATGGAATGAAATCACATAAACAAGCAGAAAACTATCATATGTTGGAGGATATGGATGAAGTGGTTTGAATGATATCAAAGGACAATACGATATGAAAAATAAATAACAGTTTCAGGATCACAATATCCTTTGAATGTCACTTAAGAGCTAAATGAGGGAGATGATCACAATCAACCGTGGATGACGCATGGAAACCATTCATCTGCACATGATTCGAAGAACTACAAGAACAAGGCTTTCGCCGCAAAAAACAAAAGAAACAGTTTTGTAATCTCAAAGAGAGTACAAAGTAAGATGACAGAATGCATTTGAAACTACATGTAACATATGAAATTATAGAAATAAATACAAAAATCAATGAACGAAGTATCTGAGAAATCGTTGAGAAAAACATCAGCAAAATTAGAAAGATTATAAAACATTGCCTCTCTTTCTCCGCTCCTCTCTCTCTGCACACTATTGTTTCTTCTCTTTATATCTTTACATCTTCTTCTACATTACCCCCCCCATGAAAAAAACCTTGGCAAATGAAAATCGATAAAAAGACAAAGAACATGCCCAAATATCCGAAACAAATTGAAGAATTACAGTCCCAAACTAAACAACTATTTCGTTTCATTTTGTATGTTTCATCAATGAAAACGAATATATAAAACAAAGTAAGTTTCTGGGCCAGGACAACAGAGAATTCAAAACTTCACAAGGATATTGGTGAGCAAGCAGACACTGATCTGACATCATAACACATAGACAGAGTAATATAGTTAAGAAAAATATGTGAATTACTTTAAACTATAAAAAAACAACTGTTAATTTGCTAAAATGATTAAAAACCAACTATCCGTCCAAAGGCGGATGAAAGCAAAACTGCTGCAAACATGGGAGAGTTTGAATGAGAAAAAGAGGAAATGTAATTTCAAACAAAACGATGAGAGTGAGAGAAGAAAAGAGGAAATGAGGGAAATATTACGAGAGAAAAGGAGATTTGTGGACCATAGGCAGCAACCACGATGACTAAATGCCATCTGAGAAGACAGAGAAACTGGAGAGGCAGAGAAGACAGGAGAACTAAAATTGCATTCAAAAGAATGAGGAAAGACGAGAGATCACTCTTGGACATCATGTAGCTATGGTTGAATAGAAGAGAGTGAAAAATGGGAGTGAAAGAGAAAGAGAAACTACAGACTTTGTTTACAAAATGATCAAAGCTCCAGTATGATATCACACACCTAATCCATTAGTCGCAAAATTGACTTGGTCAAACTTCTGATTTTCAACTCGAAACTGGACATCTCAAGTATATTTCAAGAATAAAAAAGAAGTTTCTCTCTAATATTTGAACATAACTCCCAGCAATCTAAACAAATCTTCAAAGCTGAGAAAAGTTTGAGCAAATTTTGCAACAAAGAGATTGATAAAGATAGCACTTTGTACGATCAGCAGAAAAGCTGCTGAAAAATCTCAAATCCACCTAATTCCCTGTGTAACAAAATATTTTCAACTTGACCAGCTGTGGACCTTCAATACGCCACTCCAGTATCTCTACTTCCCAGAGATTCTCTTATTGAACAGTAAAAAACCGTACGTTCTTGTTTTTTTAGAACAACTACTATAAGCTTCGTCTACTAAAAACACCAAGCTTAAAGTTGCTCGTTGATGAGTATGATCTGCCACGAGAATGAATCAACTAATGGAAATTGAAAGATTCGCCCGATTCTTGGCAAAATAATTAAATTCAAATGAATGAAGAGAATGAAAATGATGAGTAATGACGGATGATAAAACTGATGATCATATGTGAACATGACGAAGATGATGATAAGAATACAAACAGACAAGGAGTAGTTGAAGGAAAAAAGAACAAGTTATTGATTTTAACGGTTATCATTCTTACACACCCAACAGTGTGAGAGTTTGGATTTATGATTGATTGGCATGAAATCTGAGCACGCCTTAACACAGGACATGTAATTCTTTTAAGGAATATCAAAACGAAAAAGCATTCAGTGATTGAGAAACAATAGCAGAACGAAAAATACTCAAAGTTCAAGAAACTTTAATATAGCAAAATAGGAGATTTGTTGGAAGGATTGGGTATCACATTGAAGTCTTATAAGTAAATTACTAGAATATTGGTAGAGGCGTGTTCCATGGTCAACTATGAAGGGACAAAAATGGAAACAGGTTCGATCAGAATAGAGAGATAACTAAATTGGAGAAAGAGTTTTCTTGCAGTATCAGCTTTCCCTACTTCATGGCGAAAATGTTTCAAAGGCAAAAAAAGTTTATGCGCATATCGACTGCTGTTTCTATGGTTGAGGAAACAGTTTGGAAACATGAAATTGAAGAAATTTACAAAAAAAGTGGACGTTGTAAGTTGTGTGAAACAGCTGATTGTCATGAAAACTATTTTTTGCCAAATAAGAAGGTTATACATCGAACGTTTACCTTCTTTCTGGCGGTTCATGTCACAGTTCAAAGCAATAACAAAAATTTTATCGCCAAGGTTTGGAAGATTGTAATTAATCAAAGAAAAATTCCAAATGACAAGGTAAACAGCGTAGATGTAGCCGAAGAAGGAGAAAAACTATTTGAATTCTGAAGTTGCCTTTCATTAAAAGATCACATTTATAATAAAAATGATAGGCAATCGGACGCCTGTAATGGATGGGACATAATAATATTAATATTTTAAAAAATAAAATGAAATAATGAGAGAACACAGAAACTAAGAGAGAAAACGAAGAAGAAAGAGAAAGGAGAGAAAACAATCGTGGTAAAGTATGAGAGCTGGAGGAAGCATGTTGAGTTTTGGGAGGAAAGAGAATAAGAGAGTGAGAGGAATAGAGACTATCTAACCCTTTGTCCCTTATCAATATCAGTAATCACATTTATCTGTCTCTTACTCTAACCAACATACACAACTTATTTACTTTTTATTTTTTTTGTTAAATAAACAAAGTCTCAGCTCCAATTAGGTAACCCCCCCCCCCCTTTGGTGGTTTCACTCCTTTAACCAGCTTGCTAGTTGGGATCTGCGGGAGAACACAATACTTCTTAGTCAAAGTAGTAGGCTCCTGCCCAGCTGTATCGGTACATTTGGTGTAAGATATGGTATAGGCTTTCAGGAAAGAGAAGTGTAAAAGAAAAAGAGAAAATAAAAAGGAAAACTTGAACTTTCGCAAATCAAGGCATACCATCTGTAAACATTGACGCTAAAACATTTTTTTTGTTTTTTTAAGAAAATATAATCCAAGGGGAAATGAAAAGATTGAAATCGTGTTTGAAAATGTTTAGAAGGGACAAAAGAAATAACAGAAACTTTGGTAAATTCACGTAGGCAGCGGGTATATTGAATAACAATCAATTGAATCAACTGGTAATATATTAGATGTGATATTGATTACATCATAGATAACTGGGTGGAAAGTAAGGGGTGGAATCGAACAGTTTTTCATTGAACGCAACAGTTTGTATCGAATACTCCTATGAGCAAACTAATTAGCATAAAGGACTGCCACGAGGAAACGTTACGTGGATATGAAAACGTCAGAAATTAATTCTTATTTGAAACTACGTCGTATTGGGTTGCATTGAAGGTCTGTTGTACCTGATTCACCTTATTTGGATTAGGTCAGTTTGATAAAATTATGTTTATCTTCATCTAATTATAGAAATATTCAAATTATTTATTACGATGATATAGCATTGTAATTTTAATTTGAAAATGTTTTTTTCTGTGAAAGTTATCGCGATCTTAAAAACTGTTTCTGATTTGGATTAGACCGTTTGGTTTTGGGAGAGACTGATAATTTCAATTTGTCATCGTTGATGTATTTAGTTTGCTTTCCTGATTCCAGAGAAGTTTCAAAAGAAGCGCTTTATGTCTTTGATCATTGCCATATTCCGGTAAAGCCTAATACGAGCCAAGTTTCAAAGACTATAATTGGAATGGACGTGTGTATATGTTACGGACTGGCGTGATACTTATTTTTCCGTTTAGCAAGAAAGAAAGTGAATCGCTCACTACTATCCTGCATTGGTGGTGGCAACTTGCAGATTTTCAGTTTATGAAGATTCATGTACAGGTCTCGCGTCCCTCCCTAATTCTTCATATCTCCTTTTATTAGCTATCAAACGACTAAGGTTATAATCGTAGAGAAAAGCTGTGGGAATGACGTAAAAATATCGTCCGGCTGGTTGACCGCATTGTTCTACCGCAGAAAATGGACAGGATATTGCGCCATGATTTCTATTAAATCATCAATTCGGAATGTCTTCATCTCATCCAGTCTTCAACTGTTGTCTCTTAATCTCTTCGGACATTGTAGTCATTCGCCGTTATCTCGCTTTTCTCATGTATTGTCCTCCGCATTTTTAGCATCATCTCAAGCCGAAGTTTCAAAATGAATTCTCATCAATAATGCCTGTCCTTTTTTATTCGCTTCACATGTTATAATTTCTAGCAGATTGTGGCTTGCGTGATTGCTTTATTTTTCATAGCCATTTCTATTTAAAACTCATTCCGTGTCAGAGATATTTTGTTTGAAGCCCGTTTGGGATGTGGCTGTGATAATCAGCAACTTCTAGCATTTCAATTCTCGACATTTTTCTTCAGACATTGTTTGTAAACGTTTATGTTCGTCAATGACTCTTTCTTTGAAATATTATTCCCCGTTTCTTGTTCATCACTGGAGTAGGGAAGGGTAGGTAATGAAATTGTTATTGAATTTAACTTTTCTTACAGATTATTAAGTCATGAACCCTATCACGTCACGTATGGGTCTTTAAAAGTCGTGAAGCTGAGCACTTTTCTTTTCTTATTAGGAATTGTTTTGACATGTTGGGGTTTTGTGTGCATTTCAAATCCCAAGCCTCTCCCTATGGGTCAGTTCAGTATGAGTGGAGGAATATTGAAAGCGTTCTACAAGTAACTCCAACTTTATTTCATTACATTTTCGTTTCACAGTTTTACTGGTTATTCGCCGCCTACTTTGCAATTATCAAATCAGGCTTTGGATGAAGAGCATCCTTTGCATTATCTGTTTCCGCCAAATCTTCTTAATTACACTTACGGTAGTCATAACAAACTGTTGACATGCCAAGTGAGTTGCGTCTGCTTTTTTATAAGTATTAGAGATTTGTAGCGAGTACACCCTCCCAGTTATGTCACTTTGCCATCTATATTACGTTCGTTATCATTTTATCACAATGCTCAAACTTTGATGAGGATCGCACTACTGTTGGCTTTTCACGTCCGGGTAAGTGGTAACCACCTAGTGTTTTTAATTAAAAGTTTGGCAGATCCATTTATGTTGGTCAGTCACAGGGCTGGCTGCAATTCAGAAGAACACCTTTCTAGCTAAGTTTTTTTGTGTAACTCTACCTGTTCTGGAAATACCCTGGATGATATTCGCAATGTTCATTCTGATGTTCCATCATTCGATTGACAAAGAATGTGAGTTGTTCACTATACTGCTGGAATCAATAAGAGAATTTTAGGGAGTTTCCTGTTTGATAAAAATATATCCATATTTGGTGTTTTGTTTGGGATGTATGCTTCTGCTTACATCGTCTTCACAATTGTGCGGAACAAGAAGGTGATAGCTTTCTCTCAAGTCTCTTTTTCATGTCTTTTCAGGATTTCCTTCTGCTAGTCGTGCGTGTGTTCTGCTTGTCGATTTTTCTAAGCACGATATTTTCTGTACAAAAATCTTATTTGACTTTTATGAAGGAAAAGCCTTGTCACACGCTCGGTCAGTTTGAACATGATTACATTTGCAATATTACTTCCTTTTAGTCGAATACAACGAAGCACTGATTGAGTATGCGGCTTTCTTTTCCATTTTCCTATTTTTATCAACGCAATTAGTTGAAATGAAAAACTTCATTGTCGTTATTAGTTCCGTTCCTAACGAAAACGTTTCGAAAGAGGAATTTAATGAGCTAATTGGCTGCTTCTGGCAAAACGATTATTACCCGGTATATTTATTCAATACTTAAAACAGATCTCATCTTGCGAACTACTTAATCACCTAGTGCCAATACTGAATTGTAGATATATTTTTTCTATGTTTATAGGATTACAAATGAATTATTCTATATAATGAGTAAGAAGAACAAGACAAGTAAATTGCCTAAAGATAATCTCGACGAATTCTTACAAATGAGGTTCCCTGAACAGCAAGTTATATTTTCTTAATAATTTTGGCAAAATACCTCCTTTGTAGAGAATGTATAAGCCATTATCAGGCCCAGGTGGAGCAGAGTACTGAATCACAATCTCGGTGCAACAAAGTTCCATCGTGAACGTTCCATTTGCTCCGGAGAAGCTAAAAACAAAATATAAATGTGAACAAAAATTCTCTTAACCTCTTGCTCGATATCCTTTTTCCGAATGATTCTGCATGGATAACTCCTTGTCCAGCATTGCTTGATTTGAGGAATTCAATGTACATTCCTTTTTCCTCACCATCAGTCTAGAGCGAGAAATTGACTTTGCATGATTGAAAAATATTACTAAATCGATAGATATTTGTTGAGAGGTATTAGTGTATGGAAGAAGATAGGGCAGATAGTCTGATGTCATCACAGTTCCAATTAACTTTGGATTAGCAGTTAACGGAATTTGAATATTCCCTGCAATAGATTCATCTGGTTAGATTGATGTTAAGAATAAGATCATTGCCAAGGATGTTGAAATAATAATTGTACGTGATAGACGATGAAGCATTGTTACGAACCACTAGGTATCGATCAAAAATGTAGGTTGGTAGAGTATACCTAAACACCATACAGAGATTTCTACTAGAACAATAATTTACTTGGATAAAAGATTGCTGTCAGCTAATGTTAAACCCTTGAACACTTCTGCTGTATCGGAAGAGTATGCGAGTGAGGAGATCAATTGTTTATCATAATAGATATCATCAGCGTGGAATATCTGAAAACAACAAGACATTTAGTTAACTTAGGTTTCACACACCGTGAATTCCCGATCGGAGACTACTTCATAGTATTTCCCGGGCGTTGGAGTATTATGAACTTTCAGCTCAGAACCTGTACTTTTGATATTAAATTTCACTTGTAATCATCATAAAACAAACTAGTTAAGTCAGTAACCATTGCTTGGAAATCTTGCCCAAAATTTTTATAATCTGTATTTCTCTGCACCCTAATGAGAAGTACTGGACCAGTGGATGTGTAAGTTGTTGGGGATCCAGTTCGGGTGATGTTTTGTAGGAACCTATAGATGGTATTCATTTCAAAACTGCATTGGAATTATACTGTGGGTTGACTTTGAGACTCGGATCAGGATTATCACCATTGAAGATATCAACATGAGAAATTTGATTCGTGATATAAAAGAAATAAATGGTTACCTAAACATATTTTTTTACATGAATGATGTTTGAGGGAACATACAAACTTAGTTGAATCCCTTGCTGATACTAAAAACTCATATGTTCCTGAAGGCCGGGCTTTGAAGAGATTTGTTGATATATCATAAAACATTAACTGATCAGTGAACTTGATTTCACGATGAATTATATCTTCTGTAAACTATTCAAATGAATTGTGTGAAAAGTTGAACAGTAGAACTTTTCACAATCGTCATGTTTACTATGACTCCTGAGCCATACTGAGCAGGTATAAAAGAAATATCTGATGATGTAGACAGAGAGATAGTAGTAAGTGCAGAAGTGCTAAGTAGAGAGGTGGGATCAGTATTACTTGAAGCTGTTCTTTAATGCGAAGAATAAACTTTCTAATTGTTTAACAAACTCACTGCTTCACAATATTGCCAAATGAGTCCATCACTGACAATACATCCTGGCCATTAGTTGGCTGCCTCAAATTTAACTTTTGGAATCCTATTTGAAGATTGTAGTCAACGGGGAAAGTAACGTTCCAAGCACAGTTCAACGACGGACAGTATGTTGGAGAGTTCAAAGTTGGTTGCCGGATTGTATAAGCAGGGTTTGAGTCATTAAGTTGAATTTTCATGAGACCGCAAGTACAGTCTGAACACATTAGGCGATGTAACCAATTTTGATTTACCAATGTCATAGAATTTTGCAGAAAAGCCAGGTCCGTTTATGACTCCATCAGATTGGAAATGCATACTGACTGTTGAGTTTTGCGCGAAATTCCAGAAAGAATACTGCGCCCCTTGATAAGTTCCTCCCTATTCTGCATAAGTATAAAAAAACAAAAAGAATACAAACTGAGTAAGGTGCAATGCCAACTCCATCAAAGTCCATCGTGTCACAGCATTTTTCACTTTCATATGAGAGATCTGAAGTCGATGAACAGTCTTTATATAAAAAAAAACCAAAAAATCGTTTACCGATTAAAGAAAGATGATTTTTGAATGGATTGGTTACTTTAAAATAGCAGTCCGAATAAGAATCATAGTTGATCTTTCCATATCCGTTGGTTCCAACCCAGCGAAGTTCTCCTGCTTTCAGAACGTAATCTCCTTCGTTATAACAACTGGCTGGAGTAACTGGTGGATCTGGATGAATATTAGTGTGAAATTGTTGTGAACGAGTTTCTAACCTTCCACTTCGTCTACTAATATATAAAATCCTCTTTGGACTGTGGTATTGGCTTTCGCGAACTCATAGCTTATGCTCACGTTCTTCGAATAGTATAATGCGAACGGATCTCCATCATTAACATATTTTCCTCTATGAAACCAATATTATCAGAATTGTTCCATAATAACATTACGAGAACGATTGATTGTTCCAATTACCATTTGGTGATATTCCTGTCACCACAAATGGCTTATCTAGAGTTACAGAAGTGCTCAGAAAGTATATAGCTAGACGAATTCGTTTTAGAGATTGGAAATGTACATTACAAGGACCGAATTGAAACATATTTTCGGGGTAATTATGCGAAACTAGAAAATAAAATGATTCTACTGATAAGTCAATAACTCCAGAGCAGGTCGAGTAACCCGGGTTGGTAACTTCTATAAATAGACTATTAAGAAGCGTTTAAGATAAGCATATTAACTATAGGGCATTATTACTCCAAACACTCCTGAATGGAAACAATAATCACTTGAGCCTGTGCTGACAACAGTTATTGAAGCTGATCCTTTCACTCTTAGTGCTTTTTTGACAGAGCGATGATCCATAACATCACCACACAAACTGTGAAAAATCAGTATAAATCTGAACGATACAAATACTTGTCACATTCTGATCTGTTGTTAGCTGAGCATATAAACACACAATCCTTGCTGGAAACTAAGAACTGTCTGAATAAGATAATGGTTCCATAACCGTCCGGAACCGTGTAATTTATTTGGTTTCTTCAAACAATATTGATGCATAACTGTAACTGAGGGTCTAGGTTTAAACCTGCTAATAGGACCCCAGTACGGGTTAGGAAATTCAGGATTGGTAAACTCAATACTATCAAGACCATTTGCCTAGAAGGATAAAAAAAAACCTGTTGATGAGTTTTTGAAAACTTACAAATAGGAATAAAACCAGATTTGTTAGAACAATAAGGTACGTGCTCATTAGCAATGCTGTACCTTTGCATTATACTGATTTCATCCCGTTGATAAGAGAACTGTATTGATTCCAACCTTTAAATCATACTGTTTTGTAATATTGTGATTCATTTTCAATCATCCTATTCTGCAAATAGAGCCTTTTCCGTTCCAACAAAAATGTGCCAGCCAATTAAGCATTCCTCCAGAGAGAATTTGCTTTTGAGTCAGAACAAGAAATTAAGGCTTTATTCCGGTGCATGCGAAACAGATAGTTGGAAACAAGAAAAATCGATTTGTTATGGGATGAAGTTGAATTGATATTTTGATGAAATCCTTATTTAATTGCGTCGAATGATCTTCTTAAGACAGTATGTTCGTTTTGCACTTTTGAAATTAAGGCGCTGGACATGATAGACTCAGGGTTACTTTTCTCAATCTCAAATGTACTTAGTGTAATTGACAATAATCAATACGAAGACTTCTTGACCTTTAGACATAACATTATGAAGAACAGTAAGAATAACTATAACATGATTTTGAACTTTCGCGTCGGCGGGAAGCATTTGCTTAATTAGAATACGTTGGTTGATGCACCCATGCAGTCCACGTGGAATTCATTTATGTTGTTTGATTTGCTGAACGGTTGATTATTTCCAAACTTCTTTTCAATTGTGCATGTGTACAAGTTACTTCGTATACTTGTTTTTTTCTGTTAGCCTTGTGTAAAGTTTACATTAACATATATTATAGTAAGATTATTCATCTTTTATAGTTTACAAATGCTAAATCACCATGATTGTCCGTGTATTTCCAAAGCAAAAGCATGCATAGTCCTCTCATAAGTTCGCCACCGTATAGAATGAGTAATGTTTGACGAACTGAATCAGCTTGAGCAACAAAAAATGCTACCAGATTTGTTTGAAGATTAACTGGAGTTTTATATGATAAGTATGTATACAAGATAAAAGCTTTAAATGTATGTATATAAAACTCGTATTCACATATGATTACAAGGACAGAATTTCAGAATGTTGCGCGAGTTCTTACTAATACTTTTTTACGTACTTGTCGCTGTCAAACTAGGAGCTTTGTTTGTTCAGCTAATAATAGTGGGCATCTCCATATTTTTAAGAAAGTTTCTTTTCTTCATTTTCTCCATTGTCAACTTGAATAATTGCAACGTTTTCAGTATCTCTTAGTTTCCAATTTGCATATATTTTGCTGTATGAGATGTACTCAAATTTCAATGAATGGTAAGACCTCTGGCATTCTATCGAACTTCCTTTTTTTGAAGCTACATGCATCGAATATGGGTTAGGCTCATGTTCGCGTTGAGAAGAAATATAAATTTTGCAATTTGGATACTCTCAGGAATAGATGCTGGGCTAGACTTCCCACGTGAAGTTGATAAACCACGAATAGTCGGGAGAAAATCAAGGATCCCCATGAAAGCACGTCGTAGATAATATATCTGACTTCTGTTTGATAGTTGCTAGAAAGTCCTGTTTCTGTTGTGTTTTAGACCTTTTATTGTACCCTGTTGATCAAACTTTTGTGGTAAGTTAACAATCGGGTAGGCTATAAGCTGTAAACTTTAACTTATTTATAACTTATTCTATAATATTAATATCATGTAACAATCGGTTCTATGTAATAATTAAAATTGACTATTCATAAACTTTGTATCTACTTATCCATTTCGAACAATGCAAATTGCAAACCCTTTGTTGCGTACCTTACGCCTGATCTCATTTCAATCGAAAATCAAACGTTAGTCTGTTCTTACATAATTGCGAAATCAGAATTTTTTTCAGCTATTTTTTCAAACTGAATCGAGTGAGCTGCATTAATTATTAGCTGGCTATAAGTCATCGAAGTCCTACGCCACAGATGTTCCGGAGTCATCTGGCAGTCATTAAGTCTGATTTTCAATGTGCAAGCAGTTCGTTCTGTGATCATGTTACATTTTTATATTCAGATTGATAAACTGCATTGGTTCATCACTTTCCAAACATGATCTGCAATTTTGTCCTGAATCTCGACTAGAAGAGGGTTCGCTGTTGAGATTAGGAATCATAGGTAGGTTGATAGTAACGTTTTCTCTCAAACTTCGTTGTTTTATGGTTATGCTGGGCTGTTGTTCTGTTGACCTGAGCTATGTTCTCTAGACGAATTAAAATATTCAAGACAGACAGCTGTTTCTTTTAACAACTGGAGAAGGTCTGCTAAATGAAGCGAAAAGAAAAAAGTACTGAGTAAACCAACGTGCTGGAAGAGTCAAGAGAGAGTTCAAAGAACTTGGGTATGGTTTTATGAGAATGATAACGTCACCCAGGTTTACAATCTGTTTAAATCATCAGAGATTTCTGAACTTGAGAACATTCTCTCTTTTCCCCCATTGCTCCCTTAGCATACAATCAACTGATGGAATTAGCTATAAGTCAGTGAGGAATAAGAAAGATATAGAAAGAGATATAAGATGGGAAAAGTCTTCCCTTTGTTAGTGCTTCTGCTGCTTCTTCTTATGTTGTGTAATTTCTGTTCACTCCCCCTCGTTTAGATAGCTATTTCTCTTCTTTCTTTTCGTTCTCTCCTTCAGAGCTTTTTACCTTCCAATCTCTCTTCCTCTGTCATCTTCCTCCCCCGCCTGATCCGTTAATCTGTTCCAATACTATGTGTCGGCAAGCTGGTACAGCTCAGATTTCCTACTCCTATTTGGGCTGCTCACTGTTTTTTTCTCAATTAAACGTTATTTTTATGTATAAGATTTTTAGATTATACAAATTAAAGAAAAACTTGTTAGATACGATCTGGAACTTTATTGTTTTCAGAATGGCAGATTTAGATGGGTTCTGGCTCTTTGATGGCTTAGAGGAAGAGCCCTATGGCATTCTACCTCTTGTGAATCTTTCGGGAAAAGGTGGACCAACTTCTACCAAATACGTTGATAGGTAAAGCTCAGCTTCTATGTTTTCTATTTCTCTTTTTTTCAGAATAGGATCCTATCAATGGTATCTTCAAGATGATACTCCCACTATCCTTGTAAATAATAATTCAGAACTACCTAGAAGTAATGCGTTTGTTTTCAGGTTCCTGGTATGCCAATCGAATCGTTCTATTGGCCTGGTGGAAAGCTTTCTCAAGATCATGGTGTAGTTATTTACGATGTTAATCATTTGAAAGTAAGTGTAGAACTTGAGTAGTATAGTGAATTTAATATTCAAAGGTTCCTGATGGATCTCTTGATGCTGCAATTATCGCAGCCAGGCTTTTGGCGGACAAAAAGAAGAAGCCGATTGATTTCAATCAGTTCCAATTCATCACTGATGCTGTGAACCTCCAGAAAATCTTTGCGTTTGCGCAGGTGAGTTATTGTATCTAACTTTCAGGATTATTCATATTGTAGGAAGCTGGAGATGGTCTTTTCCGCATAGATTGTGAGAGAGTTGGCAAAACTGTAATCATGACAAGGTTCGCTTTCTGTTTTGTTTCTCTTTTATTTAATTGAATATTTTCCTTTTTAGAACGGAGGCTTCTGATTTGATGGAAATCGCTCATGTAACCTTTGACCAAGGTTTGAAACAGAAAATGACAAGACCACGAGGTGCTCATTCAAACGGACCATTCTTCCAACTCGTAGCTTATCAGTTTGGAAGTTTCCGAATTCTAGTCAGGTTTGATTTTCAGACTTTCCTCTTAAAACTCATAAGCTCAAAACTGAGTGGAGTAAAGATTGACCAAGATCCTCAGTTTCGATTGTTGAGGACAACTGTCTAACTCATGAACATCAAAAAAAATGAAAAGTGTTCTGTTACATAGCAAACTTTGAGTAGATTCCCAGATATGAGGATTAAAGAATAATTTCCAGATATGAGGTCGATTGTGCAGATTATATGGCTGTTAAAGCTCCAATGTAAGTCAGGTGGTATCTAATGTCATTCAAATCTTTCTCCATTTTAGCGTTACTGTTGACAAATCCGAAGCCCTACCTCCAAGGCAGAAAGCTGCCGAAAATGACAAAATCGACGTTCGTCTTTTAGGTTTCATGCTCCTCCATTCAAGTTCATTAAGGTTATTGAATATGGAGAAATCCCACGAGATGTACCCCTCCAACTGTTGACCACATATCCCCAAGGTGCCGGGTTCCCATTCTTCACATGGGCTCATCTATTCTTCACCAATGCTTCCCAAGTAAATAACCAAGTCACTTTCCCAATTGTAAGCTTTTCTATTTAGGAAATTATCGGATGGTTCAAAGGAAATGGAGACTTCGGTAAGCCAGCTATATATGCACAACAAGATATCTCCAAGATGTTAAAGCCTATGCCATATGTAACTCTCAGCAAAGGTTCTGCGTCATTTATATGTTGAAGTCATATTGTAATCTTTCAGTTCATGATTGCTTAGACAAAATCCATAAATTCCTCACTAAAAACGACGATCAATTCCGATGTGGTCTCATATGGAAAGGCAAGAATCATTTGGAAATTTTCGCAAAGGTTCTCTCTTATGCTTAACTCAGGTTAATTCATTTCTTCAGCATCCCGAAGCTAGTGGAGGACTTTCCGAAGGTGTTAGATCGTTCTTGAAGACACAATGCAAAGAACCCGTTGAAGAGGAAGATACGAAGTAAACTTCTCATTTCTGCCTTTTCTGTTCCTGAGTTTTTCTTCTGTATCGAACATCACTTGTTCCCAAAGCTGCCATCATCTGTTTTACTTCACCGTAAATTTATTTTTTTCCTTTTTTCTTGATGTTTCACTGTTTTTCTCGTAGGAGTAAGGCGCTCGTATGACCTAATAAAGAAAAGAATAAATGCTGCTAATTTATTATTGGCCAGAGATCAATTGTCATTTCGAAACATATTTTTTAATTTTTTTGTCTTTTTCATAATTCAGAAGCGTCAAAAGCTGTGTGAGCTCTTATATGGTTTGTCGTTGAATGACCTTTTATCACTGAGTGTAAGGGGAGAAACTTAAAATTAGACCAGGTTTTACTAGTCAGTTTTGCCATCTCAATAGACTCTCGCACACAATAAAACGTTGTCTCGAAGTTAACAATAATTAGTTGTATAACTTATAAGGATTATCAAATATCGAAAGAAAGCTCCGTTGTATTCAAAATATGGCTTGAGCTTTTCATTGTAGCTTCAGTGCTTAGAATCCCTATAGTCACGCCCCTTTTTACGCAAGTACGCGTTGATAAATTTCGTCTGTCGTGCGTATAAGTTTTTTATCAGAGATATTTTTTTATTATTTTTTTTCGCCCTTTTCAAGTATTATGAAATTTGAATTCGTGGTGGTATTTGTATGAAATTAAGATATTATTAAAGAGTAGTAAATCTTTTTTACAACGCAATATCGATTTTTTCGCCATCATTGCCGTCCATTCACATCAAGTGTTGAGAGTATATCGAATGAAATTCATTCTTACGACTTCTCTTCAACCATTCATACTGTTAATTTTGTTTGTTTTCTTTCATTTTGCTGTTTTCCTTTCTGATAAGATAATAGACCTGTTTGCGTGATGTAACATTTGACTTTTCAGGTATTTATTGAGATGTCAGGGGTTCGCGAAGAAACTACCAGCAATGGAATCGACTTTAATAGTGGTCCCTCTGTATCCCAACCAAATACTACCAGAACTACACCGGATTCCGGCTTAGGCGATGATCGCAATCAGCAGGATAGAGCTCGTCAAATTCCTCCAGGATTTGTATGTTTTCCTGACCTTTCCCTAATTATTATAGACTATTTAGCAACAACAGCCCAATCCACCGCCTGCCCAGCAGGGTAATTTTTATCCTCCCCTCCGGATGCCACACCAACAATTTTATTATTGTTAGTCACACTATTACTTATTTTCTTATAATAACCAACTTCAGCTAACTCCGATAACCATTATGACTACAAAAACAGTGGGCATAAGGTGACACTTGTAGTTTCCTACAGTATCGACTTTTTCCTTGTAGGTTGGTCATTTTGATGCACCTGAGACTGGAAGAATTTACGAACACCAACATATGGTTCATCCATCTAATCCACGCGCAGTGGTTTACAGAGTTGGTTTAAATGGTTTTTTTTTCAAAATTTCGTGAAATATTGTAGTCCACCATGAATGGTCAGCCACCCCCGCCTTCAATGCATTACGATGACAACTATCACCAGAATCAGAATGGGTTCGTTTTTTTCCTCGATTCAAACTTATTGATCTTTTTAGGCCTCCGAACATGGGACCCAATGCTGGCCCTGGACTCCTTGGAGGTCCTCCCGTCAACATTAGCGGGAGAGTACCTTCCCATGGTCTAGTTTATCCACAACCACCTACCATGCCCCAGAATATGCCATGTCCAACAGGGCAGTATGAGCATCATTATGGTTTGATAGTCCAGTCAAGTTGAAACATTAATCGTACTTTCCTCAAGTGCACAACCAGCAAATGCAACATCCACCTGCTGGAGCAGTTTTATCTTCATCTTCTGCTGTTTCTTCTGGTTATGAAAATGAAGGACCAGTCATGCAGAACACTGCACACGCGGGAACTCACCCATACTATTCACAATATCCTCAAGTATATTATTTTATCCATCTGCACGTTTGTAGAGTTTTCAGAATGTAATATCTAGCAATGGTGTGATGATGTACCCCCCTCAAGCTCAAGTAATGATGAGCGCTCAAAACCCTGTTGGCGTGTTCATGGCACCACCTCCTGTTCTTCCTCCTGCACCTGGCCAACCTGTCATGGTATCTCCTTGTCCTTATTCAATCATACTTGAATCTTCGTTTTTTTCAGATGCTTCCCCATCAACAGTACGTTGGAGACGGCACTTCTAACCCAACACAGCTGTACTTGGTTCAAGCTCAACAGCAGGTTTTGATTGTTGCTACTATTTCCCTGGTTATTTGCTTTTAGATGCGTCAATCACCGGGAATGCCTCCAACTGTGGTTGTTAGACAACCAAATGTTAGAGGTGATATTTTTATGATAACTAAATTTATTTACAAAAATCTAGGAGATCGATCAGGCGAGAATCAGATGGATGCCCTTCATCAGAACGTATCTCAGCCACCGCCGAGTATGATGACTGCTCCTCCAACAGTAAAGAGGCCTTGCTGAAGTTTTAAATATGTCGGTTTTACAGCGATTTGTACCTGTTCCTCAATCTTACTACGTTAATGACCAACAACCAATGCCATCAGTTTACCCTACCAGAATGGCTTTACCACAAGGACAACAATCAAATTGGATCCCAGCTCCTGGAGTTGTTTCCTATATGCCTTCATCCTTCATGCCTAATCATTACTCCAGAGGTCCCGTGCTACTGTATTGAAGTTTTATTCCCAGTTTTTAGGTGGTCGTTTCAATCGTCCAGGACGAGGAGGGAACTCGAATTACAACCGTGACGGCAAAGGAAAGGTATGATATACCACTGACTCCGAAGCATTTATTTTTGTTTCAGTCATATTCTCGCCAAAGTTCGGTCTCTACTGATCATGGCATTCAAAAAAGCGATCATGTTGAGCAACAGAATATCATCAATCTTCAGCAGCTGGCTGTATGTTTACTTTTTTTCATTATTGTTCATAAGTTGTTTCAGTTAGATGCTAGTTCAACGACCGGAACTGAGAATGAGGAGCAGTTTTCCAACAATCCATCAATGACCATCAAAGAGGGTCCGATATTAGATGGTTATAATATGATTTTAGTTAATTTTTTTAGACGAGTCTAGCTCTTTACCCGATGAACCAACACAGCCATCTCCTAAACCAATAGTTAAAGAGTTCACAAAGGAGAGACAATGTTCTATTGAAGATCCGAGTCAGAAGCAATCTGAAAACAATAGTTCTCAGCAGAAGGACCTTTCTGAATCTTCTAAGAAGGTTGAGGCTATTAAGCATTGCACTTATTGCCGTAGTAATGGGAAGCCCGAAACCGAATATACTGGACACACGTAAATTGATTAATGGATACTTTTAATGTTTCTTACTTAAGATTGCGGGAAAATGGAAAGGTGCGTTGTCCTGATGCTTTGGTAAATTTGGAGTGTGGATACTGCCATCTGAGAGGTGGGGTCGAAGCTCATGCCACTCCCTTCTGTCCCAAATTACAAGGTGAGGTGACGAGTAAGTTTCGAAGAACAATAATTTTTTATAGAGGAGAATAAGCTCAAAAAGGAGAATCTGATGTATAAGGATGGCCCACCTCGGCATACGAGAGATCAGATGAGACCTTATCAAGGAAGCCAACAATACGAACATAGACAATCTCAACAATATCCAGGAACGCGGGGAGGCCAAGTAAGTATATTATCATTCAACAATGTATAGTTCAACGTTTTCAGAACCGTCGCAATTCTAGACCCTCAGGCCGCAAGGGTTACTAATCTCCAAAGACATCATATCTAGTGTTCTAGTTCGCATATGTTTTTTTTTTTTGCAATGTGGTTGCGGGTAAATTTTCACCGGTGGCAATAACTGATTCTTCTCTGTATTAAGTTACTCTCCACTTCTTTTTTCCGCATCGTTGTGCCTTTTTAGAATTTCTTGAGATTTGGCTCGTAACTTCGCAGTTGGACTGCAGCTACTTACTGCAATTTTCAATATTTCTCTCGCAGACCTCATTTTTGTTCTCTTGTGCAAAATTACCTCTTGTTAACTTTATTTAATTAGTTTAAAAAATATCTTACATTCCCATTCATCTAACTTCTTATTCTACGAATCGTCCGTTTGACGTCCGCATAATACCCATTCTTTCCCATGTCTAAGTGTAATTTAACAGTGGCTTTCGAGTGTTTGTACGCCCCATGAAAAGTTGTCCCTCCCCTTTCCCTTATTTATTGCGTTTTATCCCTTCTACATTTCTTTTGAAACAGACTGACTTGAACAAAAACTCCAAACTTCGAAATTAGCTGGTCTGTTTCCGAAATATCCCCTTTCTCACAATACGATTGTTTATTGCAACTTTGCTCGATTTAACATTTTTTTGCACCGCCTCTTTCATGGGCCAACTACATCATCTAGTACAGTTTACATCGATATGTGGTAATTTTTTATAAAGTTTGCATTCTATGTCGCTTAATTCCTATCTTCCCAACTCAGAGCTTGAAGTTCAATGCATGCTTTCCATTACTTTCTCCTCTCTCGTTTATGTTCACAAAACTAACTTGCGTCACAATCCATCATACAAACTAGGCGATTCTTTTAACGAATCAACATTAGAACTCGAAGAGTTGCGCACAAATGATTATGAGGCGTTGAGAGAGCATGAAAATATATTGTGAAATATGAAAGTCGTTAATATTATTGTTCATGAACTATACCCTCTGGAATTCATGTGAGCTCATGATGAGATTCCGCTTCGCAGAATGGAACAGTTATAAGAAAATGACAACCATCGTAGAAGTCAGATCTTGACGGACACTTCGTGTGAAAAAAAGCAAAGAGGTTTTATAATTGAAAATCAAACAAGCTTCGGGAGAAAACAAAAAAATGATTCGATGTATTCCCTGTGCTACGAGATTTTGTAAAACACGATCTCGGTCAAGCTGAAGAAAAAGGAGGATACGCATCTCTTCATTTTTTCGAAAAGAATATTTCGTAAGTACAGGGACTACATCGAATCTGTAAGAGTAGAGCTATGACGTATACAACCGCGTTGTGTGATCATTCATTGAGAAATGATGTGATGAACGAAACATGTTTCACGTTGATTTAGACCACACATGACGAAAACAAAAAACTGACAGGGACAACTTGCAGAAACGCATTCCAATGGGGTTCGAATGTTTTGATGAACGAAAAACTTTAAATTGAGTAGCGGATCAAGCCTCCTTCAAAGAATTTGTTGAGCATCTCATATTTAATCACTATGCGATACAAATTAGACATTATGGCGTAATAACCGAAAACGTTCGATATGAAGAGAAAACGAAACTATTTGATCTCTGAGAAAGAGAAGATGAAAAATTAGACACTTGGCTTATTCTGCCAAAGAAAGCAAGAAATCATGGTTACAAATGACAAGGAAGAGGTTAAAAAATTTTCTGCGTTTTATCAATAATTTGAGTATTCTATTTCAAACCCACATCTCTTTTAAAATTATTCAGTTTTCTCAATAAAGTACATGTGACAGAGGCAAAAGAATACAATAGAAATGAAATAAGATCATAATAAATAAATAAAATAACAAAATTTACAATCTTACTTTCTCTTTTAAGAAAAAAGATAACACCTACTATAGTCTTTTGTTTAAACTGGATATTTCGACTCTGGAGCTAATCTATCGAAAATCTGGAACAAAGATAACTAGATAAGCTGAACTTGAAATGAGAGTTATACTTGTCGTATACCAGGTAGATAAGTGATTGCGTTCACTCCAGGAATGCTTCTTAAGAGATTGACTAACCCAGGCAAAAAACCACTGAAATTTACAGCATTACTTAGCGAGAAAATGGTATCATATCAAACCCGAATAAAAGAATAAATCCCCAGATTTCTAAAACAATCCCGATAAGGGGGTACCCGAATAAAACAATAAAGATCCCTGAGAAAAGTATGTTTGATATCGAATGTTAAACTCCAAACCTCCGAAAAAGAGTGCACTGGCTTTTAGTTTCCTCATTTCAAAAAAGAACACCATAGTCCTTTGGATTCCAATTACGAAAGTTATACCAACAATAAATAAGAGCTTAAGCGCCATATTAAGGTGGAATGTCACTGATAACTCACATTTCCGATCGCTAACAAAGCAGAATCTAAAAACATCAAAATACCCAGAAATATGAAGAATACTCCGAAGGCTGTTAAGCCGACTCCGATTTCTGCAAATAGTTTTAATTAACTGAAAATGGTTGGACAGTTTCTTACGTTTTGTACTGCTCACTTCGAAGTTCATTGTATCCCTGAAAAAAGTTATGTCAGAAAAACGAGAGAAAGAAAAAGGATAGGGTCAGAAAAACTGTTCAGCTTATTCTGGCTGAATATGACTATATAGGAAAAGCAATCGATAAGCATAATTATTGATTATGATTTGAAATTAATTAAAACTTGTATAAATATTCAAAGATTTACTAGCAAAATGACGTGTCACGACTATCTACGTACGTACGGTGATTACCATTTCTATGACTTTGAGAGTTTCGTACGTAACGCATTTGGATACCTTTTGTTGATTTTCGCTTAAACGAAAGTTTATGATACTAATATGGTTAGAATCCTTTTTTATACGTTGAAGGTAACCTTTTAATCGAAGCCCACGTGTTTCAAATTTGTTTCTGATCGATAACAAGGGTTATCATTTCTTATGTACTGTCTCGACTATTCTTTTTATGCAATATGTACGTATCAAGGTCGAGATAACTTCAACAGGTAACGGTTCCTACAAAATTTTGACTGTAATGTTATAACTGATCTATATTCTCAATCAGTTCATATTTTCGTTAATCGTTCCTTCTTTTTGTACATGATCCTATATGAATTACTTGACCTTTGAACTAATTGACCGTTCTTTACAGAATGGATGTCGTAACCGATTTACCTCAGTTACCTCAAAAGAAACATTATAGGCAAAGAGCACATTCAAATCCTCATTCTGATCATGATATCGAGTATCCAAGAACTCCAAACGAGTTTGTTTCTACAACATTTTTGTTAATTCTCTGAGTGTTTCAGCATGAACTGGACTACTTTATACGGAGATTATACTCAGAGTCGTAAAGTAGAGTTTATCGATGTAGGATGTGGCTATGGAGGTTTACTAATGAAGTTATCACCTTTGTATCCAGAGGTACTAATGTTGGGCCTCGAAATCAGAGTTGCTGTGAGTTTTGTTTGTCATCAAACATCCATGGTATCAGCTTCATAGGTGTCTGACTTCGTCTCAGAAAAAATTCGAGCTCTTCGCGCCAGATCAGCTGATGATCAAACAGTAGGATTTAAAAATATTGCTTGTTTGAGGTTAGTTCATGGTAATGTAAATGAATTAACTCTCTTCAGATCAAACGCGATGAAATATTTACCAAATTATTTCACGAAACACCAGTTATCGAAAATGTTCATTTTGTTCCCTGATCCTCATTTCAAGAATAAGAAACATAAGTGGAGAATAGTTACTCCAGGTCTTCTAGCTGAATATGCATATGTTATTCGGCCAGGAGGACTTCTATATACAATGACTGATGTTGAAGAGCTTCATAATTGGATGGTGGAGCATTTAACGGAACATCCCTTGTTTGAAAGATTGACAAAAGAAGAAGAAGCTGCTGATCCCGTAGTTCCTATGCTTTATGAGAGGTACATACCTGTTTGAGTTCAATTTAAAATCCATTTTGAAGTACGGAGGAAGGACAAAAAGTGACTCGTAACGAAGGCGATAAGTTTCCCGCGGTTTTCAGGAGAATATCCGATCCTCAATGGTGATTCTTTTTTTATTTTGTTGTTGTTGTCTCTGATGATTGTTATACGTGCTCAGCACAAATGTTTTCTGTTACGATTAAACACTTCTCTCACAGTGTGCAAATTGAAAAACACTTGGTCTGTACCAGTATCTATCGATAAATTCACCACAATTTTGTTTACCACCATGTTCAGGGTTAAATGGGTGACGATGTCTACGAGTCGCTACCAACTCACAGTATTGGAGTATGTTTTTCTATACCTATCTTTCTAAGTTAGAGCTTTAGGTGCATCTCGCCGCAGGTGCTTTCGCCGGTGCTGTGGAGCACTGTGTGATGTTTCCTTTTGACAGTGTTAAAACTAGGATGCAATCGTTATGTCCATGTCCAGAAACAAAGTGTCCAACACCCATGCACTCGTTGATGAGTATTGTTAGGAGGTATAAGTTCAGGAAATAATTTCTCGTTCATGCGTTTTTTTCAGAGAAGGATGGTTAAGACCGCTTAGAGGAGTTAATGCAGTCGCAGTAGGTTCCATGCCAGCACATGCTTTATATTTTACTGTTTACGAGAAACTGAAGGTGAATAATAGACAGGCAGTACTTGTCGTATTGTCAACTTTCAGGGATTTCTCACTGGAAATACTGCCGGGCATTCTAACACTATAGCTTACGGTGTTTCTGGCGTTGTTGCTACGTTAATTCATGATGCTATCATGAATCCCGCTGAAGTGAGTGTTCATCCAAGTTGCAAGAAAAATTCATTTATAATATGCTGCTAATTGAAACTGACGTTTCTATTTCACAATTTTAGGTTGTGAAGCAGCGTATGCAAATGGCTTTCTCACCTTATGGTTCGTCCTTGGAATGTGTTAAATGTATTTACAAGTTGGTACAGTTTACTGTGTGAAGTTGTTCAAAAAGTGTTCTAGGAGAGAAGGATTGTCTGCGTTTTACCGTTCTTATACCACTCAAATCACAATGAATGTACCGTTCCAAGCAGTTCATTTCATGACCTATGAGTTTTGGCAACAGGTATCACCAGCTAAGATGAAATTTCGTTTATGAATCTCCTGCAGGTATTGAATCCCGAGCACAAGTATGATCCACAGTCTCATTTACTGGCCGGAGGATTTGCTGGAGGTCTTGCTGCTGCTATCACTACCCCATTAGATTGCATCAAGACTGTCTTGAATACGCAGCAAACTCCAGAAACTGAAATGGTTGTGAAGGACAATAGAATATTTTTGAAGGTAAGAGTTTTTGTATTCTTTTAAAAAGCGCATGTTTAGGCGACAAGCACTTATCGGGGTGTTTCCGATGCAGCAAGAACCATATATAACCAAAGAGGATATGGAGGTTTTCTATGTGGTCTTCAGGCTAGAGTAATATTCCAGGTGCTTAAGTGTGTTTGAATCTAATATTAATTTGATCCGTTCAGGTACCCGCAACTGCTTTATCTTGGTCTGTGTACGAGTTGTTCAAATACGTCTTAGGTTATAACGAAAAAAAGCCTTAGGTCCTCTCCTATATTCTCATTTGTTTCTCACTCATACTCCTCGCCTAACTCTCATTCACGATGATCACTGAAATAGTAGTCAGTTTGTTCAGGTGGAGAACAGACTGGAAAAGTCATCAAAATGACCTTCATTGAATCGTTTGCATGCATTTTTATCTTGTTGTTTCTTGGATGTAATTTTTTTCATATTCATCCTCACTGTTGTGCCTTTTTCACCAGTTCTGCTCTCCACTTGTTATTCGTTTGCTGAAGTTCAATCTTTCATCATTGCTAGGATTTAGTTGATATAGATGTTCTATTGAAAGATATATAGATAGCAAAAGAAGTATAAAATTAGAAAGAATATTCGATGTATATTTCATGTTTTCGCTTCCGTTTATGTACGGTTGAATGTTGGACTATCGATTTAATGTCTTTGCAGATAACGCTTGTGGGTATTTCTAGTCTTTCTTGTTTCACATCTTTTTTCACTAGCACCTTCCCACTCTGATACAGTTGTTCTCGAAGTCTCATTCTTCAACTCCTTGTTTAGTAAGGTGGTGGTGGTCTATTTTTCACGAGTTTTGTAATATTGCTTTTCAAAATATTGCTTTTTCTTCACACTCTTTGCCATGATTGATAGGGAAATTATTTCTCAAGGTCGTTGTTTATCTTCACTGTTCTACTTGCTATAGTAGCCATCACAGCAACATGTTCTAATCTCCTCTAATTATTCCTTGATTACTTTTTGCAATATGACGCTCACTGGCTGCTTTTTTATTAATCGTCTAATTGCCCATGCTTCAGGGTCTATTCCCGTTGTTCAACAAACCGAGTCGCATCCACTCCCTGAAACAATGAGTGAGTCTAATTGTACTGTCTGCTCATTTTTATTATTTTCACAGGTTGCGTATCAGCTTCTTCTACTTGCCATTCTAAAGCCGCTCTCTATGCTGTTGGTCTCGTAGCTGGCGGAGCTCTTGTCGGTTACTTGGTAATTGTATAATATCATTCCTTAATCATATCCCTATTGTTTCTGATTGCCAACAAGCTCGCTTCCAAGAGAATAAACCACTGTGTCAAACTCGACTGCCCAAAGGTTGTTTTTCATATAACTAGTTCGTTCATCTAATCGTATAGGTTGCTGATGTATTGGATATTGAAGATATTGGAGAGAAGAAATCTTTCTGTAGATGTTGGAAGAGCCAAAAGGTGAGTAGTTTGAATGTTTTCAAAATATAACATACTTCTTCCTCAGTTCCCATACTGTGACGGCGCCCATAACAAGCATAATAAAGAGACTGGAGATAATGTTGGACCTCTCAACATTAAAGGTAAACCAGCTAATTAATACGAGAATCCGACTATTTCAAATGTAGTTCATTCTTTTGACTTAAATAAAGTTTATTCAAAAGGTCTGTACATTAATTAGATGGAAATAAATACTGGTTTAAGTTAAATGCACAACAATCACAGATTCGAAAAAGCGAGGAATTCTCTACTGGAAGATCTTGTCGTAATCCACAATAAGACGGAAACAGAAATTGTTCAAGTTGTTAAGTTGAGTTGTTGGAACCTTTGAGAAAGTCAATTTGAGAAGTGAGCTCATGTCTAACCTGTTGATTCGTTGGCCAGGTGAGATTAGGTCCGAAAACAATACTAAGATTTGCTGCTGTCATAAGGTTAACATTACTTCTTGCGGCCACCTGAACAGAAACTATAAAAAAAGAAAAAAAAAAGTTTGAACTTTGGTCAGGAACTTGATGACTGTTTTCAAAAGCACGTAGTTTGGTTTAGGTAAAACGGCTACGATTTCACGCACTGCGGCAGTTTTCTCGGTCTTTGGTACGTCTCAAAATAAGAAATTTCTCGATTTGTAGCTGATTGTTAGCGAACCTGCTATCTTAGTTAATTGTGGAAATAACTCATTGGTCGTGACAGGTTCGCCAAGAGATCGCAGGAAAGTTTTCAGAAGAACAGAGGCATGCAGAGATGCAACATAAGCATTATCTCTATATTCTGGATCATTGATGAAGTCTACTTTCTCCCCTAAGATTTTTACGTGATTGTTGAACTTGCATCATTGTTAATACCCATGTTGATTCGCTCTTGGAGACGTTTTATGCTTCCAACATTTGCGCTCTTACGGAAAATCCCCTCGATATCCAGGGCGTTTTCTTCTAAGAATTCTATCAGATCGGAAACAATCGGAGGAACATCGTGATCAGGATTATGGGATAAAATGCTGAAGCACACAGTTTTTTTTTCAGCATTAGAACTTACAAATCGAGAGAAACATCAAACTGCTGAGTTGGTCTTGGAGGATTTTTAGGACTCAATGGACGACCGTCGAATGCTTGAGAACTGAGTTGAGAATCGTGATCTCTAATTGGTTGAGGTAGATGCAACCTAGAAAGAAACGTCACACTGTAATAAGGTTTGTCCGCTTACCTTGATACTTCTAAAGCTGTTTCCAGCTCTTTTATACATGTCACATAGTGGAACTTATTCTCAAATTTATTAGAGATGAATGGCTTGAACAAATTCCAAATGATTTTGATAAATCGGGTAGGATGAACTACATAAAGAGCTTTTAGATTCTTCTTGTATCTGAAGGTTATGTTAAGCAAGATGATGTTCGAGATATCACATACTTTCTATCTAAAACTTTGTACGCCTGGAAAAGCCATTTAATAGGAGGTTTATTATGACTTCGTAGACCATAATGAAAGTAAACGATAGTGTAATCAAGTTCGACAACCTTCAAAAAGAAACATGACGTTGAATGGTAAGAGACACTTACTTTATCAAGAATGAATTGTATATATCCAAGTAGTTTAGCATGGTCAATTGTTTTATTCGAAGGTAGACGATAAGCGTAAATTACAATTATTGGTCTGAAAAAGATTGGTTTGGAAAATTTGGCTTTTCTCGGTACTACCTGGCCACTCGATCTCCTTCAGCCAGGATTTCAACAATCTCATTCATTGATATGGAGGTAAAGTCCTCTGAAAACGGATCTCCTACACATCCAAGCTCCTTTTCATAATCTTCGGATGGCTCCAAAAAAGAACGAGTGCATTCGCTATCCACAGGAGTGACTACATATGATGTTATTTCCTGTCTTTACACAAAACATACTCGTGATATCATCGGCAGCCAACAAATCATCGTCAGCAAACCCGTCTTCCGGATCCACGAATCCAGAATTGTCAGGATCCATGAAAATCTATAACATATGTTATGTAATAAGTGCGATGTTGGTGACCATGAGAGAAATATAACAATATGGTTTTTACCAACCGTTTGTGTTAAAACCAGTTTCATTGCTCGATATTTATGAAAAAAATAGCACAAATATGCCATCTCATGCACTGACAATAACCATTTAGGTACATAATTATTTACAAAACAGATTACAATAACTTAAGTAATGTTATATGAAAGTGATGTTATTCCCGTCGGAGTTGATCGAGTCTAGCTTGTAAATCATCATCGATGTCGTTTCCTAAAGATATATCTAGTAAATCAAAATTCGGGGAGAACTACCTGATCCTGCAGGAACTGCCGTTTTATTCTTCTTTTCAGGAACTCCAAGCTGTCCAGATGGTACCGGAATGTTAGCCATTTCCTCTCCCATTTGAATACCTAACTCATCAAGTACCTAGAATAACATTGAAGTAGAAATGCAATCGCTCTATACGAGACGAGTATATATCACGCTTACACGAGGAACGCAAAAGAAATGGATGAAAAGAAGATCTTTAATTTGTTGAAAAATTACCTGGTTAACGATATTCTCGCTCTCTTCGTCGTCTGCAGCGTCACCAATAGCATCATCTATGGCGTCTCCCATGATTTCTTCCTTCATGTCCATGATTTCACTCTGCTTTTCAAACTTGAAGAAGAGGAGAAGTTAACATAAACGAAGGAAAAAGATAACCTCCATCATAATTTTTTGAATTTGGGGTAAATTTAGTTGTCGATTCATGGATTGCATGGCTTTCGTGACTCCTTTCATAGCCTAAGTGTAGCAGTTCAATTTATGTCGTGATATTAATTGATTTACCTGAGCCATAGCGTCCTGACTTTTTAAAGTTTGAACTTTCAGTGATACAGCCTCAAAAGATAATGAATACTGTTTATACTCTATGATACACATACTTGAATATTTGCTTTCATCATAATGAACTTCTTGATATAGCGCCTTGTCCTGACTAAATCTTTGGCCATAACTTTGACGGAATCCTGAATACTAACTAATTTTTAAGTTAAACAACCATTACTCACCATCTGATTGGCTTTTGCCATTTTCTTTATTTCAGCGATGACTTTCTTCTCTTGCATTTCCATTCTTTGTTTCTCTCTGAAGCAAGTATAGTGTGATACTATATAATAAGCAAAAGATATATTTACCGATCCAGTTCCCGAATAGCTTTATTGAGTGCTCGCTGGTTTTGTCGAAGCAGCTCAGCAGGAGTTTTACGTCTTCCAAATAAAGCCTCCATCTCCTGAATTGTTGTGATTGAAAAGATAACTACAATCACTAATCGTTCATACTAAGATGGCAATATTCAAATCGACATGAAAATTCAAAAAGTTTTAAAACTGATAGTTGAATCATCGCATGGAACTGCTGATCAAACGCTGGGTTGGCTAGATTTTTCGTACGTGAAAAGACGTATCACGTATTTTCAAGATGTTTACTCGGTCGTCTTTTTTAGAAAGATTGTGTCCAAATATATTGCAGTGCTCGTAAAAAATACACAGGAATATCATTAGCTCATACCGATATTCACTGAATCCGCAATCTTCACCAAATTTTGAATCATGCAGAGACCATGTTCTACTTTACCTCTGGATTTGATTTATAGATGCTTGCAGTTCTATCACTGCAGATTGTGGTTCCATAGATGTCTAGAATTAATGTTGCTCGAGGTATTTTACAAGCTTTTTCTGAGCATTCTGGATGTCCACATCACGCATTTGACACCAGACCATTCAAAGTGGCAAAGTTGACTGGTGGAGGTTTGTTTACGTTTTTCTTTCTATGACCTAAAACATTTGCTAATAGGTGTCACAAAAGATTACGCATTCGAGATGATTTGTTCCACCTTACGGTTCGGACGCGGAGTTACAGCTGAATTGGGATTTGATGTCCAAAGATTGAATGCTAGACACACTCTTCTCGTGACTGATAAAACTGTGGTCAATACAAACGCATTTAAGTAAGTTAATACTCGAGAAATACACATTTCATAATGAAATAGTTTTGGATGAGCTATAGTTTGTAAAATAAATTGTAAGTTGTATATAAAGAGCGCTTTGTCCATGTGACTTGAATTGAGTACGAGAAATCATTCCAAACACTTTCTCCTTTCAAACTTTTTCAAAAAAAAGTTTTTCATTTACAGAGTAGCTGCTCAGTCCCTCAAAGATGTAGGTGTTAAATATACTGTGTTCGATGATTGTATGATAGAACCGACTGATTCAAGTATCTTTTCCTTTTCATATCTATAGAGCTAGTTCAGTGTTTAAGGTATGCTCACTGCTCTGAACTTTGCAAGACAAAAAGGATGTGATAGTTTTGTTGCTATTGGGGGTGGATCTGTGATTGACACAGCTAAAGTTTTTTTAAAAATCTTTTTACTGTTAAACCCTGACTTTAAGGCAGCTGCTCTATACGCTTCCAATCCTGATTCCGATTTTCTCGATTTCGTTGGTGTGCCTTTCGGAAGGGGTCTTCTTCCAGAAAATCCAATGCTGCCTTTGATCGCAATTCCCACAACTGCGGGCACTGGAAGCGAAACAACAGGTAGTAATTTGTTTTTCTTACAGGTTAGATACTTCTTTCAGCTGTATCAATCATGGATTTACCGGACGAAAATTGCAAAACTGGAATAAGAGTTCGTTGTTTGAAGCCAATGCTAGCTTTGGTCGATCCTCTAAACGTTCTGAGGTTTCTTGAGCATCAATTGAAAGAGTTTGATTAAATTCTTTTTCTGAACTTTGCAGTATGCCACGTAATGTTGCGATCTACTCGGGGTTTGATGTGTTATGTCATGCGTTGGAGAGTTACACTGCTTTACCCTACAATGAAGTTAGTATTTGCTTTATCAAACTGTTCTGTTCCAAAATGAAGTTCAGAGATCTCCAAGACCCCTTCGCCCAGAGCTACGCCCTCTCTACCAGGGATCTAACCCTATCAGCGATGTTTGGAGCAAAGAAGCTTTAAGAGTATTACACTTTTCTTTTTTGGTAGTCTAATGAACCATATCACAGATAATTGCTAAGTATTTCCGTAGAAGTATTGCCGATGCATCTGATGAAGAAGCTAGAACACACATGATGATGGCAAGTTCATTCGCGGGCGTTGGGTTTGGTAATGCTGGTGTTCATCTCTGTCACGGATTGAGTTACCCAATCAGGTTCAATTTTTTTTCATAAAGTTGTGCATTTGGATTTTTTCAGTTCTCAAGGCAAGCATTATCATGACTGTGATTACCCAAAAACCAAGCCATTAATCCCTCATGGTAATAGAACGTTTCTTTAGTTTATACTCCATGTTTTGATCATTAGGGTTGTCTGTTGTTACTACTGCTGTGGCAGACTTCGAGTTCACTACTCCAGCATATCTTGATAGACATGCCGAAGCTGCTCGCTGTCTAGGAGTTAACATTCCGGTAAGTAGTTCACTTTGCTTCTGTAACTAATTGTTTCAGATATCTGCCGATGCTGAGTATGTCGCACGTTCTCTCTGTGATGAAATCCGAAGTTTCATGAGTGACTTCAAGGTTCCTAATGGATTAAAAGAACTCGGTTTCTCAGTTTCTGATATAGGTGAACTTATACAAGAGCGTACAAGCATGAATTGAGTTTTCAGACAAGCTAACTGATTCCGCCGTTGCTGCTGTGCCTAATATTGCCATATCTCCTAGACGTACAGACAGAGAAATAATTGCTAAGTTGTATGAAAAATCGATGACTGTATATTAGTAAGGAAGACTGTGATTTTCGAGTTGGGTTTAGTGATGTAAATATCTGTTTTAGATTTTAGCTATCAGAGTTCTATGAGACATTTACAAAATAAATTTTAAGGAAAAATGATTTTTCATACTAAATTTTCCAGATTTCTATCCATGACAAGCTTCAATCAATATATTTGTAACGTTGCTTTAACTTTTATGACAGAAATTTATTTGTTTGAAAGGAAGTTTTAATGTATGGACCATGAAAGAGGAAAGAATTACAGTTTTGTTCATTGGATCCTGGACGACTGCTATGAGTGGAAAAAAAGCTCAATGGTAGCGAATTTGATAAGAACTAAAATAAAAAAGTAGAAAAATCGGAAGAGAAGACTTGAAGTTTCAATAATACTTATTGATAAGGAAAAGGAAAATCTCAGGAGTGCTTGCTGTCTGGGCTGGAGTCCTCGATACTATTTTCTACTTCTGAATTTTCATTGTTAAGGTCTTCCAAATCAATCTAGATGAGATAACTAAGCTTCAATCAATTTTCTCGAAAAAAAAGATCAGATTAGAAGCCTTAGGTACATTGTGTCAAAGCTATATATGAAACTTTATCAATTATATATTCAAGATGCGATTGTTGACAGGTGATGGACTCTATCCAAGTTATTTGACAGATTCTTAACCTGTTAACCCTTGCAAACTGTCAATTATTCTTATTATAAAAGGCGACGGTATCTTTTACAACTAGTACTATCCAAAAACTGTCCTCTGAAACTACTAGCTTCCTAATAAGCTCCGATTTTCTGGGTGATTGTTGAAAGCTGCTGTACGTTTTCTATAAGAATTCCAGACTTATCTTCTTCTTCATCATTTTATCCTTGATTCACAAACAAAAACTTTCTATAAAAACATTGACAGAATCGTTTGTCTATGTTGTGTGATGGCTAATCATTCGTAATAATCGACAGAGGCACGATCATCGTTTTTACCATTACAAAAAGACATTTTCTAAATTTCATCGCTTTGTTCTATTTTATTCCATTCAAACTGATTCAGGTGCTTTAATCTGATGCAAAATGAGAAATGTCATTTCATCAGCCTGAAGAATCTTAATCAAATTTGAAATAATTATATTTTAACCAAGATGTAAGGAGAAGTATTCTATTCTGCTTGAAAAGATGTAAGAGTATTTTATTCCATATTTCTCCATAGATTTCTAACTTATGAAATATAAGCAATCAAAAAAAGTGTCTCAAATTCTGTATTTGATGATATGTCTTTCTAGTGAACGTCGACTTGGCTCGAGGCTGTTATTCAAATCAAGCTTAGCGATACTGTCTGTCCAACTCATTTTGAGTGTGACTCCTCGTAGTGAAATTTTCTTTAATTTGTTCCAAAATACAGACGATGTACAGAAAATAGATTGTTCGTAACTACAACATTCGATGAAAATCAATAAAATTTTCGAACATATTCATGTTATATTTTCAAACGTTGTTTCAATATCATTCTTTATGTGAAATTCAAAAACTCTAGCATAATTGTGGTCGACCTTTGCTTGAATCGAATGCTTCAGCTCGACTGGAGGCATTGGTAATCTGGCTAAGATCTTGCCGAACTTGAGCCCGCGAACCTTTTTTTAGTCTTATATATATTTTTTTTACATTCTGTTGCGTTTATTCGTAGTAATACTAATACGCTTTACAAATGTCTTTTAATTTCTTCAGCGTCTCTTTTCTCTCTTTATTTGTTTAAAAATATTAATAGTAATAATGGTGTTGAGTATGTTGGGCAAAATTTAAGATGGGAATGTTGAAGTAATGTTTCGAATCCAAAAAATGATTTATGGAATACTTTCTATAATTATCATATTATCTTGTCAAGCAAACGGTTGGAACTGTCATTCAATTGAAAACAGTTGTGATATACGTTTTTCAACGAAACCGGAGCAATAGTGCACGATATCGAATCAAACCGTTCGGTTTTTTTTTTGATATTCAGGATAACAATTCAACTCTCCTCCAACATAGTAGGCACGATTATCGTATAGAGAATTTAGTCCGCGCAATTACTTTCTTCTTCACATAATGAATGATTTGAAGCCACGCAACATCCATGATTCTAGTGTTATCTACGAATTTACTGTCTTAGAAGTTAGATTGCTTCAAATGTTCTTTCACTTTCATCAAAATCTGAAACCCCTTATCAGTGAGTATACAACTAACTTGAATGACAATAATTAAATTTTCTTCATTTTAAGTTTTTTTTTCACCTTTACAGACACACCGAAAATGTCTGTAGAGAGAATATAGTTCACCTACAGTGTTAGCACATCCATATTGATATATCCAGAGATTTGAAAATATACTTCTTGATATTTTCTCTTTTTTCATTTCTCCATAAGCCTCATCCACCTTGCATCGATAGTGTTCTCAATCCCATCCAATACTGTTCCTGAGTTCTGAGCGCAGTTTGCATTCTATCATCTTCTCCATATTTGCGTAGAAAAGTGAAGATTGTGGAATTTCAAATCGTGTACGGATAAGTTAATGTCAACTCTTAGAATAGCCGTCTTTTATTTGGTACTATCTGTTTGTCTCTTACTATTGGCAAAAATAATGTCTTCTGAGCTCTTGTTGTGAATGGGATGAGGATTAGGATAGCGTTTCGTGGGGAGTTTGATTTGATAAGTTTTCTTATTACTCGAGGATCAATACCAACAAGTTATAATATGGTCGAAGTATCTTACCACTCGGATGGTTGCGATAGGTTTCTCTCTAGAACTGTAAGATTCGTTGGAGGGCCTTATCTTCTCCAGAACTGAGGATTATCTAAAAACATTTTGGAATTCAAAGAGATCTTCATAACATCTGAAATGACAACTAGGAAGTCTCAGAGACTTGGTGAAATTGAAACAGTGAAACAGAGAATACAACATGGAAGTGTGATAGTGGGCAGGGGATGGGCAGCCTTCCAAGGAGAAGGCTGCGGGGAGGGGCTCTAGTACCGGGCTACCAGGCCCCAAAGGACTTTCCACATGTACTCGGAGGAACATGTACACAGCGGATACACAGCACTCGTACACAGCACTTGTGCACCGTCCGTATACAAGTGTCAAAAAAATTTTAAAATTTAAGTTTTTAAAATATATCTTATGAATTTAAGTTTTATTCAGATTTGATTCCAAACTATATTATGTGAAGAAAAATTTTTGAAAATTTCTGATTTTGTTCCGAGGCCACCTTGCCCCAACCCACTCAAAAAATATTAAAAATTCTGATCGCGGCGAGACCAATTTGCTGAAAATTTCAAAATTCGTGAAAAATTGGAAATTTTTTCAATTTAATTAAAGC